TCTCGTAGAATGCTACACAAGTCGTATCTGGCTACTAGAACCGAGTCTGATTGCACATCTGAAAAGCACGTAATTACAAATTCTCTGAGAAGTTCCCAAGGAAATATCTTGAGGGCTCGAAGTGTTCGTTCTTCAGCCAATGCATCATCTAGAATGAGCTGTTCCAGTGACCAAGGTGATGCAAATTCTGCTATGTGTACTCCACACATGCCTCCAGGTGAAAAAAGGTAGAAGATGGTTGATAGATTTATTTCAAAAAGTAAGTTGTCTTGTGATTTGGATAGCTACTCAAGTATGCATGCTCTGCCTCTGAATTTGTGCAGGCCAGGAGACGACGCTGATATGTTGTGCTGGAGAAGGACTCCCCTAGGCAAGGTAAACATCTCTACCAGGCCTAAGAATTCCGTTTGGTTGGTTTTTGTTTTCCCACCCCTATATCATCAACTACCCTTAAAGGTCATGAAAGATGTCTGTCTGAACCATTGATGTTTTCTGATTTGTGATGATCGATGTCTTGTAGGGTCAGGGGGAGACGCAGAACAGCAAGAGCTCACGGCTTATTGGCCGAGTCCTCCCCTGCAGCAATGCAGCTAGTTAAGTGAGCTTGATGAGATTCCCATTTTGTGGAACCAGTAGGTTTAGCAAATCCATTGCGACCAGTTTTGGACAATGGGACACAAAATGTACAGTTGCAAAATATGTTTCAAGGCCATATTCTAGATTCGCCATATACTAATCAATCATTTAACGGACCTGAATTATACTGTCATGGAACCTTATTATTGGCTGAGCTCATTTTCTTTTGAAATATGTATCACATCATCATCATTCGTTAAAATGAATCCAGGAAAAATAGCTGTTTCCAGCAACTGGTAATGCGCTACACTTCATTTGGAATGCTGGCCGTTCTTTGAGTCTTAAAACCATTTGCACTAAGATAATGAGAATCCGTAACAAAAACTTGACTGCAATATCGGTTTCGGTTTTATTTTTGATAAGCTTCTCATGGTGGTCTAATCAAAAACGATGTATGTAGTTTGAAGTGGAGAAGTCTAGTCAACCGATAGCTTAACCCGATCCACACCACTTGTGGGATCGACTCCTTTCCATTGATGTATATATACTTGGCAAGTAAAGATTGGTGAGATAAGTCTTCAACTTTTGGTTATATAAAAAAGTTGAGATTTTATTTTGGATAATATGCAATAAGCAGATTGGAATATGGATAAAGATGATATATAATATAAGCTATTTTGGGATAAGATATTGACAGATATCTATTAAATTATCTGCTTTCATTACCATTTTTTCACTACGATTTTTTGGGTAAGAAAGAAAACACCAAAAATGAAATTGATAACCCTAGTAGTAGTTCGATGCCTCTGGCAGGGCAGCACATGTTACGAGCAATCGCCACCGTTGAGACGTTAACACGTGGCGACAGTAATTGCGATTGAGAGCTTTTGATGAGAAAGCGTAGCCGTAGCAGCAGCCTCCATTTCTGTAAGCATTTGTCCTCCCAAATTCCCCAAATCCATCCATCTTCTTCCTCCAAAAGCATTACTACAATCTTCCCTCATTTTTTCCTGTTCTCCAGGATAGCTACACTCAGCTCCAGACTCTGTTTTTTTTTTTGTTTTTTTTTGGCTTTTGCGATCTACGCTCCAACCTCTTTATTCTTACCACGGATCTCGGTTGCTTCCCTGCGTACGACGGTCCGCTCTGTGGAGGTTTTTCACTTGCGTATTTTGGCTGACAAAGAGGGTATATCATTCAGAGATTTTTTGTTCTGCTTGGTGTGTCTACTTATTGAGCATTACATTTACTAGTAGTTGGACTTTAATTTTTTTTCTCCGGTGTTGTGACGTTGGATTCTCAAACCTTTCTAAGATGGTTTTGTATTTGCTGGCATTTGATCATAGGGTGATTGGTTGACTGATTGAAGTATATACGTGAGGAAATGAATAGAGAGCTGTTTGTTTGGAACTTTGCTTTGAGATGCATAGGCTTTAGAAAAAATTACTACTCGTTGGTTCCTGGATTGGTGATTTACATCTCCCTTTATGTCGTTTCACATCATTTGTCTTGTGATTTTTAGCTATATGTTGTTTTGATTTTAACTCAAACAAGTTGTTCTCTTGTCTGATTTGATTATTGTTTGTTGGCTGTCTTGATATTATCATATAGTATTGATTCAATGATTTTTCACTATCAGAGTAATCGCCAAAGATGGAGGGTTTCTTAACGGATGCCCAGAGAGAGATGTTGAAAGTTGCAACTGAGACTGCAGAGAATCTTCCACCCTCACAGAATCCTCACTCGGTTTTGCATACATCTCATCATCTGCCTAAAGCATCTGCTGGTGGAAAACCTTCTGGTGGGTCAAATGCTGTGAAACACAGAAGGTCTCATGCTGGAAGGTCTATCCGCTCAAAGAAGGGTCAGTTACTACTCTACTCTACTTTGTTTGGATTTGTAGCGCCTGTTTCTATGTTATAAAAGAAATGGAGTTGGTAATTGCATAGATAAATGCAGTGATTGACACATTTTGTTTCAGATGGGGGTGGTGGGAAAGGTAACTGGGGAAAACTTATTGACACTGATGGAGACTATCACATTGACCCGAATGATCCAAATTATGACAGCGGAGAGGTAGTTTCTACACCTCTATCCACATTTTCTTCCTAGATGAAATTGATTATTCTTATTTTCATGCTTGACATCTTTGTCACCAAAGCACTCGGGGAGAAACTTTTTTCTATGTCTGTCCACTTGTTCTAGATGATGATTTCAAAGACTTATCCATAAAATATATTGCTTTTTAGATGTCATTATGATCATTTTTCACTGCATTTCTTGTTATATCAGGAACCATTCGAGCTTGTTGGTGCAACTGTTTCAGACCCATTAGATGATTACAAGAAAGCTGTGGCTTCAATCATTGAAGAATACTTCAGCACTGGTGATGTCGATGTTGCAGCAGCTGACCTCATTGAACTTGGTTCAAGTGAATATCATCCCTACTTCATCAAGCGGCTTGTCTCAGTATCCATGGACAGGCATGACAAAGAGAAGGAAATGGCCTCAGTGTTACTTTCCGCATTGTATGCTGATGTCATTAATCCGAACCAGATAAGAGATGGATTTGTCCTGCTGCTAGAGTCAGCGGATGACTTCGTGGTGGATATACCTGATGCTGTAAATGTTATTGCTTTGTTCCTTGCACGTGCTGTTGTGGATGAAATCCTTCCTCCAGCTTTCCTTCCCAGGGCGGCCAAGGCACTTCCAGTTACTTCCAAAGGTTACCAGGTTGTCCAAACTGCAGAGAAAAGCTATCTATCAGCTGCACACCATGCGGAGCTAGTGGAAAGAAGATGGGGTGGACAGACTCGAACAACTGTTGAGGAAGTCAAGAAGAAGATTTCTGACATTTTGAAGGAATATGTTGAGACTGGAGAGACTTATGAGGCATGTCACTGCGTAAGAGAATTGGGTGTGTCTTTCTTTCATCACGAGGTTGTGAAGAGGGCCTTAGTTATTGCCTTGGAAAACAACGCAGCAGAAGCACCTGTATTGAAACTACTAAAGGAAGCAGCTGCTGAAAACCTGATAAGCTCTAGTCAAATGGTGAAGGGGTTTTCTAGGTTAAGAGAAAGCCTTGATGATCTTGCTCTTGATATTCCTTCAGCTAAAACCAAATTTGATTTGATTGTGCCAAAGGCTATCTCCGGCGGTTGGCTAGATGCTTCGTTTAGCTATCCCTCTGGAGAATGTGGACGGCAGCAGGTTGAGGATGAGAAATTAAAGCGGTTCAAGGAAGAGATACTGACCATCATTCATGAGTATTTTAACTCCGATGACATACCTGAACTCATACGCAGTCTTGAGGATTTAGGAGCACCGGAGTACAACCCAATTTTTCTCAAGAAGTTAATAACACTTGCTCTGGACAGGAAGAATCATGAGAAAGAAATGGCATCTGTTCTCCTCTCTGCTCTTCACATTGAGATGTTCACCACAGAAGATGTTGCAGATGGTTTTGTCATGCTCCTGGAGTCTGCAGAAGATACAGCACTTGACATTCTGGATGCTTCCAACGAACTTGCTCTGTTCTTAGCTCGGGCTGTGATTGATGATGTTTTAGCACCTTTTAACCTGGAAGAGATCAGTAGCAAATTACGACCTAACTCAAGCGGAACTGAAACAGTGAAGATGGCTAGGTCACTCATCTTTGCTCGCCATGCAGGAGAGAGGCTTCTACGATGCTGGGGAGGTGGAAGCGGTTGGGCAGTTGAAGATGCAAAAGACAAGATATCGAATCTGCTGGAGGAATACGAAAGCTCAGGGCTGGTATCAGAAGCGTGCAAATGCATCCGTGAGCTAGGCATGCCTTTCTTCAACCATGAGGTGGTGAAGAAAGCACTGGTGATGGGTATGGAGAAGAAGAAGGACAAGATGATGCTGGATCTTCTGCAGGAGAGCTTTGGTGAAGGACTCGTAACAACAAACCAGATGACCAAAGGGTTCACAAGAGTGAAAGACGGGCTCGAAGACCTAGCTTTGGACATCCCAAACGCAAAGGAGAAATTCAAGGACTATGTGGAGCATGGGAAGAAGAATGGTTGGGTGTCATCGTCGTTTGTAACTTCCCTAACTGAAGACGCTAATCTAGGCTAGATCAAGAGGAGAATCCCCCAATGGTGTGGGGAACTAAAAACCTGATAGAATGTACAAGTTTCTTTCTCTCTTTCTTATCTCGAGCATCCCTGTGGTTGTTTTTTTTGCACTTTTAGGCTTTGAGAATTCTGCAAAAGGGAGCTTACTCTTTTCACGAACGTTCAAAACTTTTGTTTTTTTATTCAGAACCCTTTTTTATTTGTTATGAATTGAGAGTCCAACGTGGATCTACTTAGTTTTGTTTTAGAAGTCAATAAGTTTAGCAAGGTAAAAATTGAGGTTAATTATTCCTTAATGGCAATTACCAATTAGACAGAAACAAATTAGTACTTATTTTATGTCGCATTTGGTATTTTTCTAATAATGATGAGCCAACTCTATTTCTTTAATAAAAATCCCATATAGGCTTAAGGCTTCGATGGGAGAGAGACAAGAAAAAGAGAGAAGTGTCGAAGCTAAAGAAAATGAAATTCGTAATACCAAAAGTACCCTTCACACTCTCTCTCTTCATCTCCCTGTCTCTTCTCATCGTCTTCTTCTTCGCCTTCCCAACCACATTCCTCCGCCGTCCTCTCTCCTCTCCTTCCTCCGTCATCGCCGTCGCCGAAGAAGGCATACGGATCCGTCACCATGGATACAGCTCATACGAAGCCTACATCAAGCACCAGCTCAACAAAACTCAAAACCCGAAGCTACGTAAAGTATGGACCACGCGTGACTGGGACAGGAAAGTGCGCGTGTTCTCCACTTTCTTCAAACGGCTCAGCGATCACAATCTCCTCTCGAACCAGTCGAAAGCTCTCTCGATCGGAGCGCGAGTGGGACAAGAAGTAGCGGCGCTGAGATTGATCGGCGTGCAAGACTCCGTCGGGATAGATCTGGTGCCGCGACCGCCTCTCGTGGTGAAAGGAGACTTCCACGCGCAGCCGTTCGACGCGGACACGTTCGATTTCGAGTTCTCGAACGTGTTCGATCACGCGCTTTACCCGGAGAAGTTCGTTGGGGAGATCGAACGGACGCTAAAGCCAGGAGGGGTGTGCGTGTTACACGTGTCGATATCGGGGAAGACGGATAAGTACTCGGCTAATGATCTCTTCAGTGTGAAACCATTGGTGAATCTGTTCAAGAGATCCAAGGTTGTGGAGGTGAGGAACATCGATGGCTTTGGGCTTGATACTGAGATTGTTTTTAGAAAGAACAACAACTAAACCATACAACAAAGATTTTTTTTTTTTTTTGGGTTTTCATTGTTTCATTTTTAATACATAGGTTCGTTGTTGTTAAGTTAAACACAAATTGTTTCTCTTTTTGTTTGGATTGTATTTCTCATAGTTTTATCGTGTTTTACTACAAAATCAAAATGTATACATCTATTCTGAGTGGCGACATCAATAAATTATAGAGTTTTTTTTCTTTCTCACTGATGATAGCACAAATTTGAAGCATTTTCTGATATTCATTTCCTAGTTGCAATGGAACTTTGTTGTCGGTGTATCTCGTCACAGAATAGCACAAAAGTTGAGTTTCAAAACTTAATAATGTTCTTCTGCTTAAACTTGACACTAATTTAATGTAAAAATGACAAAAAATTTATAAGGTGAACTCAATATTCAAACCAAGGGACAACTTGCTGCCTTATCTGTAACCAGGAGGTAATGTAATGATTGAGACTTGAGACTTGAGAGTATCATTTGCAATAGATAAAGAAAATAAGGATGGGTGAGAATGATTATCAACTCTCTCCTGGGTATAGCCTTCTCAGCGAACTAAATCGACGCTTCTGCTTTCTTCTACCTGAATATTTTACTTCCATTATAAAAAGCTGATTTGGTGAATCACTATAAAAGAGTTTGTTCATTGTCTTAACCTGTTGAGAGTCTTCCTGATGCAAGCAAAGCCTCTTCTGCCATAGACCTCCAGTGTTGTGAGCAGGAGTAATTGATCCCAATCCCTACACTGAGTCCTCTTAACAGTACTACCGTACGAAGAACCGAGAATAGTTCCTCCGGAAATGCCTTTCCACAACCAACAAACAAACAAAGTCAATTGTTGCAGTAAATCCAACAACACACAGGCGACTGTTAGCGGTTTTCCTTCTTTCTCAACTGTTTAGGTGTTGTGTGTTTTTACCTCAACCGAAATCTTTTTTATCGAAGAGTCTTCTGAGAAAGGTTGCAAAACTGTTGTACCAGGAGGCATCTCTGTGTCAAACATTGTTTTTGCTAACTGAAGAAGCTCTTGTTGCTCATTCTTACACTTGGCCATGGTAGCTATACCAAGTTCCCTGAATTTTCACCACAGAAAAGTCAGAAACAGTTTCAGGAATAATCACTCATATGCTACACTAATTCCATCAGGTAACTCTAACCAATTTTAGCTTCAACTAAAACCATAATTATATTATGATAACAAAGTTACTTCACCTAAAGCTCTGTAAAGCCAATGAGGCATCATTATCAGCGATGGCAATTACCAAATTTGCATAACCAAGTCTCAGGTGGTCAGGGAGTTCCTTCACTTGACCATAGTCCAGAAGTGCAACCTGATGACGGGAAACACGATTACAACTTAAGATATATATAGACAATAAAACCTATCGAACGACAACAGTTAGTCAATTAAACTGCTGAGGAATAACTAGCTATAAACAAAAAATGACTTGCCTCTGAACCTTTACAAATCAGGATGTTCCCAGGATGTGGATCCGCATGAAAGAAACCACTCTTCAGTATCATTTGGCCATATGCTTGGGACAAACTGTTAAGTATATTGCTGGAAGGAATACAAAAAATATGTTTTTCAATTTTCAGTGCAGCATCAGAAAATATCCACAAATGGTAGCCAAAACACAACGAAATGACAACATAATAGCTCTCAAGCATTGGAAAAAAAAAAAATATATCAGAAGATAATGGAGGAGCTTACAGTTTTGCTGCCTCTGCGAGTTTACCGCGTGGATTTATCCCTCTTTTGGCCATCTCATCACCGAGGCTCAAGATTGGGATTCCGTTAATGTAATCCATAACCAGAACCTTCCTGTGGTTATTATGGTTATTCCTCTGATCAGCACTCATTACTCATCAGTCAAGCAATAGAACCAAAAATAAAATAATTTTGAATGAAAAGAGATGTTGTCAAAAAGACAAGAACTATAACTTGATCAGTGAAACAGGAGAATTTAAAAAGCCTTAAACATTATTGAAATAACGTTGATATAAGAACAATTACCTGGTCACCAAATTTGGTAGCACTCTGGGAACCAGAACAGGACTCTTTCTATTGTTATCGTAAAGAAAACGTCGGATCTTTTCCATTGCATTGGCCTCCCTTATAAAGTCGAATTCATACCCAATCTAGAAAATAAAAAACAAGGACTTAAGGTGACTTGGAGGCAGTTAAAATTCTTGCCAGATATCCTTAAAAGCTAGAAATGATATACACCTGCTTCTCGATTTCCTTTGTTATGGAGAACAAGTCAAATTTGAGATCAGTTTTCTGCATGAATAATGCAAATAGTTGCAAGTTTCTTATATCTATCATCATCAATTTCTCCACTCCAGGATGTTGGACCTAAACATGTGGTAGCATATTCAGAAAGTAATTGAAAAGAGGCTAGGAGGATTTCAGTAGTCTCCTGATTATTTATTACCTTTACAACAACATCCCTTTTGTCACACTTTACTCTTGCTCGGTGTACCTAAATAGAAGCAAAAAGAAAATTGAAAATATTTGTTTCGCTTGCATCTTTACTCATAAATAGCGTATGTCAAGCACCATACACTCAAGAAATTCACATCAGGAAAACGAAATAGCCGAGAAGAGATACGAGTTGTTCCTAGTAACCTGATGAGTTAAATGATTCAACTTCATAAAGCAAAAATGTTTAATTTCATAGTAACATAAGCATGAAAATGTCACTAGAGTTCCATGCCAAAGATACACCTCATGCAAAACAGGGGAAGGGGTGCAGAGACTTACGCATACATGTTGAGACTTACTTAACCATACTATAATCTTAATCTGACTCTAAAAGCGTGCATGGTAATACTCTGCATAGGTTCTAAAACTATGAGTGATGCAGAATGTAGTACCTGAGCAATAGAAGCAGAACCAAGAGGCTTAGCATCAAATGTTTCAAACACTTGTTCGATGCTTTGACCCAACTCTTTCTCAAGGACAACTCGAACGGCATCGAATGATGTGGCAGGAGCTTGATCACACAAAGTGACGAGTTTTCTCACCCACGCAGCTGGAGCCAAGTCAGGTTTCCCTAGAATTTGTGCAATCTATTGAAAATGTAAAAAACACTCGTCACTGGCAACTCTAAACAATCCAAGAAACAACAAACCTCCACAGTTTATGGAGAAATGGGAATCAAACAAGACAAGAAGGCACATTATTACCTTAAGGAAGAACCCACCAAGGTCAGAGCACATAGAGTAAATTTTGTGAGCAGCAAGTTCATGTTGTCTCTCCCACATTTCCTCGTGCTTGGTCACATCCTTGACAAAGTTCATTCGAAGTTGAAAGACCTAAAACAAAAAAAAACAAAAAGCACCAGCAGAAACAACAGATTCAGAAATTCCAGAAAAGCATAAGAAAAGGAAGCAGAAAACGAAACATGAAGAAGAAAAGGAGTACCATGAAAGAGAAACCTTGTATCCAGTGTAGATATCGGTGGCACGAGCCCAGAACTGAAACGATCGTTGCCAAGGTCGGAATCCATTTGTGAGCTTTTCCTGAATCTCTTTGAAGTCGATCGCATGCATTTCCTTCCGGAAGATAGATTTCTCCAGGAAATTTAGGAAAAGTGATGAGAGGATAAAGTTATGTTTAAGAGAATTGTCTTATGTATTGTATGGCTTCAAGATGCTCACTGATCTCTACCCAAGTATTTTTCTTTTTTCTTTTGCTTTTAATTACTGTTTTATTAAACTTTTAATCCATGTGTCTTCTTTGGATTTAATTCCTAATTTCATCTTTTATAAATTGCTCGAAATATTCATTGTTATGCTTCACTTTGAGATATAAAGGTAGATAAATAGGCTGATAAGATGAGAGCAAATGTACAAAAGTGAATACAAAGAAAGAGTTGGAAGTAACTCAAGAACGTATTACAAAACAAAACAATAACAAGGTTTGTTAGTAGTAAGTAAGTCTTAACAAAAAGAAGTCATTTTGACAGTAAGAAACAAAAATCATATCAATCCTAATAGTGGTGAATGGGACATACATGTGGTTACGGATCCCACCTACCACTAACAGACATCCGTGGAATAATCTGCAAATTAATTGCTTACTCTTACCAAGTTCCACTAAGGACAAGCAAGTCTTTCCAAAATTTTTACATTGTCGGTTATTACTTTGTATGAAGATGAAGTATTACCTTGACATAGTAGAAACTTATGTATTGTTGGCTAATTAACCTTTTTTTTTTGTTAAAAACCTGTTGGTTTAAAAGTAGTCTTTCCATAGTAAATACTAAAGGATACAATGAAAACAAGAGATTTAAAGGCATGCGATGCAAGGAAGAATAAAATGATTTTTGGAGATTAAACTTGCTCTTTGTTCTTGAGAAATGCACCACTAAAAAACAAACTAGAGTCAATTGAGACAACATGTATTCATCTCAAAATCCCAAATTCATATCGTTTCTCAGACCTTAAGATTCTACCGTTTTGAGTTCCCAAGTTGCAAAGCTTGAAGAAAGTGCCAAGAAGCAGAAAACATGTCGCAATGCTCACAGATCGATCACACGAGATAGCTTCTGGATCCTGTTTAGCAAGAAATCCCCTTGCTTGATTGTTGCCTGGTAGAGTGCATTCTTTGCATCAGGACGGTTCGTCTCCAGAACACCTGCAACTTTGTCTATCTTGCAGTGAAGCTTCCCAGCAGCAATGAAGCGTGAGAGCTCCCTGTAACATTTGAAGCCGGTTTTAACTTTGTATTTTTCTGCTTCTAAATAAAGAGCTGGCAACTAAAAGATACGAAAAGAGTGCTCATTAGTGTGCTTACTGATCAATGAAATCCACGGAAACGCCAAAGGCCTTTGCCATCGCTTCAACTGTCACACTCTTGTACGATTCCAAAAACTGTGAGTATACCACCGTTCTCACCTCCCTCATGTAGAACCGGAAATGAGGGTACAAGTAACGGTCAAACTTGATTTGCTCAGCCATTCCAGCTGAGAACATACCCCAATAATGAAGTTTAGTAAACATGCAGAACAGGCAACATCCATGCGAAAATTTGATATCTAGTGCTTGTAATGAACTTACCAAATGCTGAGAAAAACGCCTTGTACTGGCACTCGTACAAGGAGTTCAGAAATTCAGAAAGGAACGGAATCTTCCCAAGAACAGTTAATATCTCCGGTGCATCAACAACCTGTCAAATTAGTAGCGCTTTCTTAGTTTCTCAAAAAGAATCACATCCTCCAAAAGGAATTTCAACCAAGAAAAAAGATTCATCATTTTAAAAGGTTGACATACTAAAAAATTATCCCAACTTAATTTAGATAATTCGAAGTAGAGGACAGAGCAATTGACAACTACCTTCTGCTTAAGCGAAACTCTGTCCAGAGTTATGATGCTTGTCAGGACGGTGTAGAATATAAAGGTCTCATATGGAAAAATTTCATATGTTGTGAAGGTTGATATCGAATCCAGAAATAAGCTGGCAGCCTTCTTAAAATTTCTGGTGGACATGCAGTACAAACCTTCATAGACCTTCAGCCTGTTCTTCCTCTCCCAGTCACCACCCTCTTCAAACAATCTGGCAAGGCAAAACGGAAAGTGTTAGATCAAAGTTTTCAGTTGCGTTAACAACCATGAAGTGTAGTCTCAATGCAGCCAAAAAGCCACACTGACACTTACTTTTTTGCTTTGTCAATGCTCTTTGATACAAGGTCGAAGTCCATATAGAAAAAAGCAAGCTGCAATGTATAGAAGACAAGGTCCATCTTCTGCCCTACAGCTACAGTTTTGCCTTCAGTGAGTTTCAGCTGCTCCAAAGCATTCTCCTAGAATTGCAAAACAAAAATTTAATGGTCAAGGAAGTTCTGTGAAGTGCATAACTATTAACTTTGACATGGTAACATACCTTATCACTAATCCTGATGAAATACAAAGCCTTAGCAAGATGAGCTTCACGTACTTCACTTTCACCCAAATTTTCTTCTGCGTCAGCAATTCTAAACAAAGGGGACGGAAAGGAATACGTAAGAAAACACCAAACACAATAAATATCGAAATTACATAGAATCATAGTGATTCCCAAAATCTTCACATGAGCTACAAAGGAACATAGAGATTCCCAAAAGGAAAAAGAGGATTATGGCAAACGCAATTCTGAAACATCCAATTCCAAACCCAGCTGATCAAAATGCTACAGTGTTACCCTACATCAATCTAATCTAATAGACAGTAATACGAGAACTCAAATTTCAAATAGGAATACGAATCAAGGAAACTTACTTCTCGTCAAGCTTTTTAAGCTCCTCTTCGTTATTGGCCCGCATAGAATCTAGCAAGCTCTGATTCAACTCTAGCACCGATGTAGCCGCTAGGGTTTCGTACAAGGGAGCCATACCTAGCAAAAATACCAACCAAAACATTAGGAACATAAAATCTCGAAGCAATCATAAGTTAATTGTCATCGGATAAGAGAAATCGAGCTGCTTAACTATCGGATTTGATGAAATCCAAAACCTCAGACTTGAGCTGGACTTTCTCGATGTCTGGAACATCGGATTGAGTGAGGAGGAAAAGCTTGTGGGCTAGAATGAGATGAGGCTGCTGCGATCCTTCGGCACCACCGTCCATTGCAAATCAGAAAAGCTTCACACGGATCTGAGAGAGAGAGAGAGAGAGAGTAAAAGAATGAGAAGTGTTTGCTTGAGCAAGGAGGAAGAAACCCCAATCTTAAATAAAATTTTAACACCGAGCAAAACTGTCCTTTTTGTTGACATAAAAAAAAATAACTTATGAACTGAACAAAAAAATACAAGATTAATATTCTTAGTTTAAAAATCGTTAAATGAGATGGGAATTTCGTATTTTATCATCGTGTTATCCAACAACAGTCTTTTGATCTGATAAAATCAAAAAGCTTGCAAATGATTTCAGAAAATAGAAGAATATAAATGCAGTTGTAAGTCGCACCATTAACAGAAATATAACTTGAGTTACACATGTCATGAAAGAGAAGCACAATATTCAATTTGATAGAATTATTTCAACATTATAGCAAAGTGAAGCCAAATGCATCACAATAAGGGACGTTCTTATGTCAGGCTCAATTCCATGTAGACATGAATGAAACCCTTTCTAGATTCCTTTCTCAAGCATTGCTCTAACTCTCATTGGAAGCCCGTAAAGACGAATAAACCCGGCTGCATCTGCTTGGTTGTAGATCTCACTCCCTTCGAACGAAGATATGTCCTGTCTATACAAACTGTTTGGACTCTTGCGCGCTGTAACCGACACAGATCCTTTGTACAGCTTCAGTGTCACAGATCCCGTGGTTGTCTCAGTTATCTTCTCCATGAAAGCATCCATGGACTCCCTAAGCGGATCAAACCATCTCCCCGCATAGACCATCTCTGCGTATTTCAGTGCTAACGAGTCTTTTACCTGAATACTCTCTCTGTCTAGGGTGAGGGATTCTAGTTCCTGTACTGCTGCAAAGAGGATGGTGCCCCCGGGAGTTTCATACACACCCCGTGATTTCATCCCAACCAGACGGTTCTCGACCATGTCGATTCGCCCAATCCCGTGTTTTCCTCCTATGGTGTTTAACTCGGTCAGAAGTGTGGCTGGACTCAAAGCCTTCCCGTTCAGTGCCACTGGCAGTCCAGACTCTATCCCGATTTCGATGTATCTGCTCAAGTGTTCAAGTATCCAAAGTTAGGATGCAAATTGTAAAATCCGTACACTTGGTATATAAATTTGATAGCAGCTAAACAGGTTGACTCCTTTACTCAGAAAAGACTACACATCATAAAGAGACTTGATTAACGAGGCTAAGCTGTGCGCTCTGTAGCTAACTGACTCAACTATAGTTTTTACTATAATTTTAAAACTGTCAACACAGCTAGAATCCACTACAAACCTTGTGGGATTGCACAAGGACTAGAAGAAATTCCGAACAGAGGTTTAGATAAAAGCAGCAACTTACTCAGGCTGATCAGGAGCATCTTCAGGATCTACACTTAACATGTACATATCTTTCTTCGGCTCGTTTGCTGGATCTTCCAATAGATCACCCTTTCAACAATACAAAAAAAAAGTTTGATTTCAGAGCATGAACTGAGCAATGTGAGAAACAGAAACAATTTGTATCCAAAAAGAAATGCAAACCACCATATGACTTTTACTTTACCTCATGACTAAGGTGCCACAAGTTCCTATCCCGGCTGTAAATAGATTTCTTTGTCACTGGGACGGGAACATTATGCTTTTTTGCATACTCAATGGCATCTTCTCTGCCTTGGATTTCCCATTCTCTCCATGGTGCCACAACTTTAAGTTCAGGGTTTAACGAAAAGAAGGTAAGCTCAAACCGAACCTGTTCAATCAGTACAGAAAGTAACATAAGAATCAATGTAAGTGTTCTTCTAACGTGCGCATTAGCAAGACATTAAGTACATACCTGGTCATTTCCTTTGCCAGTACACCCATGGGCAACGGCGTCAGCTCCAACCTCTGCTGCTACATCAACCATGGCCTAATAATTTAGAAATTGTATTAGACTATTAGTGACAATAGATAATCCAAAAGATGTAATCAGATATTAGATTTATTGGGGTTCTCTACAATTCGATCATATAAAACAGATAGAAATGTCACCTTGGCAATGACAGGCCGAGCCATGGAGGTACCAAGTAAGTATTTTCGTTCATAGATGGCACCAGCTCTAAGACAAGGGAATATGTAATCTTTAACAAACTCCTCTGTGAGATCCTTAACAACCAACTGAGAAGCACCACTAGCCTTTGCCTTTTGTTCTAAACCATCCAACTCTTTTATTCCCTTCATATCAACCATTTAGAGAGGATGAGAAGACATATGTAAATGCAAAACAAACATTTTCTTAGCAAAACCAGTCACATTTGTCAAATTTGTAATGTACCTGACCAACATCGGCAGTGAAACACACAACTTCACAACCATAGTTCTCCCTGCAAAACATGCAAGTGTAGTGGATGGGTTAAACTTCCAAGAAAATATTAGCATCAAAGCTATCTAAACTAGTTGTGTCCTAACCAGAGGAAGATCCAAAATATAATCTTGCTAGAGGTAAAACATAAACTCAAGAAAGAAGGAAAAACATACTTTAGCCATGGCACGATGACAGAGGTATCTAAACCTCCACTGTAAGCTAGAACGACCTTCTTCAGCTTCCCACGAAGTCCAGCCTCCTTTGAATCATTAGCCAGGGCAGTTCCATCACTGGAGAGAACAGCTCGGATAGCTGTGCAACATTCAAGACCACAAAGGGTTTAAAACGTACTAATGGAAGGTACATAAAAAACAGGAAAAGGTCATCAAGAGGGGACAAAGAATATGACTTTAAAAGAAATTGGGCTGATTCAAACTTCACCTTGGTTCTTGCAGCTGCGGGATGCGGAAGCATGACCCGTAAAAACGGCATTGCCAACAATCTGGCTTCGTCTCACAGATAGCTGCAATGGAGAGTAACAAATAAAGAATTCAGAAGCAAGAATCGGAGAAACAAGAGATAAGATAAGCATTATTGTTAATCTCAATTACAAGTACCTCTTGGAACTGGGAAGTGGTTCTTGGACAAGCTACATTCTGACATTTTGAGCTACCTGAGAAGACATATCAGAATATCAAAGGTACATTACGATTATAAAACCCGTTGGAACATCTATCAATTCAATATTTTGAACAAGGGTCCCATTTGCAAATTCTCGGTGGTTAAAATAGACACCGGAAATGGTAACTGTCGGAGAAAGGGAGAATTTTGTATTCAAAAGTAGAGCTATTGGTAATAATATAAAAACAAGGAAACGAAGCTGAGCAAAATGAGAAATGGAGGGGGAGAGAGTACCATTGTGGGAGCTACGGAACAAGAGAGCAGAGGAAGAAGAAGAAGGAAACGAAGTCGCCGAGATTTCAGCCATGTAAGATTATTTTCAGGGATTCTTTTTTGTCTGCGGGTTGTTCTCGACAATGGGGCTTGGTGCTCTTCTTAGATGCCAATACACTGCCAACAGTGTCTCTAGGGTTTTTTTTTTCTGTATACGGCGGCTATATCGTTTTACATTTTTTTTATTTTTTCTCAATTATATATATTTCTTGTTCAGAATATTGAAAACGTTTTCCATATTTCGTTTTCGTTTCCATAAAACGTTTTTATACGCTCTTAAACCAAAAAAAAAAATAGAAAGCAGTATTTCGAAAAACAGACTTATGTTTTCTTTGGTTTAATTATACATGAAAAATAAAAATAAAGTACAGTAAGTTGGAAGTAAGTTTCATTCCCTTTGGTGCGTGTTGTTTATATACTTAAAGATGAAACTGAAATAGTCCTACAAAATATTTGAATGGCCGGCCACAGCTTGCCACTATGTCATGATCTCTCAATATGAGACTTCTGAAAACACCTCTCTCTTTCAACAAAAACTCTCTTCCTCTTCTTCTCATCAACTATAACAACCAAACACAAGCGAAGAAAAGAAGAGGCAGTATTTTTCTGATTATAAGACATGATACCACAGTGCTGTATAAAAATGCAGTGGGATTCTTCAAACACTGATTGTGTTTTGCCTATCTGCAGGTGCAACGCATTGCCAAAAGGAACAATAAGCCGGGATATCTGCCGGTATCAACCCCAGTGCAGTCACGTTTCGGCCATACTCCTGGCAAGTTATTAACCAGACCATGTTACTTCCTCATAAACTAAAATTTGCAGAGTATATTGATCCCACAATCAGACATCATGAGGAAGGTTACCTGAATATCAAGGAACAACTGCATACACATCTTGTCTGTTTCAGATACATTTTGATCAGAAACACCTGACGCTGCACCTGCTCGTCTCTGTGCATTTTGACGTAATTTCTGAAGCGATGACTCTGTTTTTCTTGCCTGTGACATAATTACAGTCAGTACCTCTACCATCTTTTACAACACATAATAAGAGTTTGAATACGATTTGTAGGGGCGGAAATAATATGATTCAATTCAAATACTATTTTTAGTTTTGGATAATTTCTTAAAATAGTGTTGTCAAGTGTTATTATACTAATCAAAAATCCTCGAAAGAGTGTTCAAAACAGAGTACTTACCACGCTAACTAGTTCAGCAGCTAATTCATAATACCGCCTGGTAATTTCAGTGACAGTACCATGCAGTAACTCCTCCCTTGTTTTTTCGGTCAAGTAATGTCTAGCCTTGTCTCCCTCCAAAAAAGCCTTGTAAAAGAGAGGTGCAATAATCCACCACTTTAGAATTCACCAGTCAAGTAATAATGAAACTTTTTAAAAATCGCAACCCCAAAGATGAATGAATGAATACCTTTACAGGACGAAGTAGCCCGACGACGTATGGTGAATGCCTAACAGGTAGTGGCTTATTAGTCATCCTATACGTAGCGGTTATTCCCTTGAGCTGCCTTAGGTCCTATTGGAGAGAAGAAAGCATTTACTATTACAGAGTGAAAATGTGTGACACATGGAGAATAACTCCAATCTAATTCAGCTATACAGCAAGTTATACACAACACTGTTCTTGCCGGTGCCACTAAAATAGTCAAACAAATCTGGATCTAAGGATTACTCCGGGCTTTACCTCAACGGATTTATCAACAATGACATCAATTATTGTCTTGGTAACTATAGGTAAGACTTTCTCTAATGATGCCCCACCCTGTTCTATGCTCATCCTCACCACATCAATAACTTCAGTGGAGCATGAAGATAAATACTGTGATACATGTCCAAGGTAATCGCCACAAACTTCTGAGACTAGAAAATTTACATCATGTATAACCTGCCAGGAAGGAAACGTAAATATTCCCAAAAAAAAACAACTGATGAAGAAATTGGTCTATATGATCTGAATTCATGTATTTATGTGAAAAGAAAATATTCCGAGTTTACTTATTTTCCACAGCATTTTTTTTTCATTATATTCTAACATAATGAAAATTAAGCTATCCAACGGCACATAACTGCAGCTGACATAGTAAACACGAAATTGCAGAAATGCCAAAATGTCCAAACTAAGAGGAGCTCAGAAACAATCCACATAAGAAGTAACTTACATATACAAAATCTTCTGCAATGCCTGAAACTGCCCATTCACAACCAGGACTCGGGCTGGCATTACTCTTTCTAGTATTCAGAGCAGATGACACCCAAATGCTATATCTACATGTCATGAACACATAATCAAAATTAGAATTCAAACAAAAAACTAGTAAACATGGATAATATTACACTCAAATTTCACAAACCTCGAAAGAAGCTGCAAGGTCAAGCGAAGAAATTTATCAGCAGCAGAGAAAACGAGAACATCTTCTTTCCAGCACGATCGCAAGCACTCTAAAAGAGTACCACTCTGTCTGAGAATTAAGTTGAGCAAACTCTGTTGATCTGAATCCTGAATGAAAACCAGAGAAGGAGAAGTAAGAGCAGAATCCAAGGCTCCAGCTATCTCCTGAAACCTGAAATTATGTATTTTTTTAGTTAGAGAAGCTGAGAAACCACTAATCTAAAGGTAAATCGATAGCCATCTATGATATTTCTTAAGTACCTCAGTGAAAAATATACTCCCACATTCCATTGCTTCATGAATTCAATGTATATAGCTTCAGCTCGAAACTTAGTTACAGCAGACCTTGACGGACAATAACCTTCATAAGAAGTACATGGTATGAGAAAACTGAAAAATATCCCAATAACTTCAGCACCTAGAATTCAATTAAGTTTTATGCTCAAATAAGTCACATAAATATCAGTAATGCATCTCAAATAAGCCATGTGATCAAGGTCAGAGGAAGATAACCATCAGTTACTCTACCTTCAAGATATGCCAGGAAATCCAAGCTTGCCTTGTAATTCTTTAAGAACTCTGTAGGCCTTCCAGGAGAAAATGCTCCTGGTTTGACTTTCTGGATTGCCGAAAGAACTTCTTTCAGGATTGAATTGGCCAAGAAGTTGAAGACGTGTAAGCCAGATTTGTCTGTTTTAGAACAAGATATCAGGCAAAGATACAATGAGTTAAATATAAAAAAAGCACCACTAAAAAGCGAATAAGCCATGAACCCTAGGCTACTGTGTTAATTGGGTAAACAATATCTTAAAATGTTAACAGGAAAAAAATATTTTAAGAGAAACATGGAACTTCAAAAAGGTGTTTGGATGTCTACAACATATATGATCGCACAAAGATTTGAGTCAATTACCCGTTGAAGCTATTTCTAGCAGCATTTTACAGTCCTTCGCAATAAAATGCTTGATCTGTTTGTAATCGTTTTCAAGTTCATCTCCGGATGATCCAGCAGCATGCGTTGATGTTTCATGTGTGATAAGTTTATGTATAAATGGAGCCACAATAGTTGTACGAAAAAATTCTTCTGCATTGTTGGTGTTATCAATGGCAGCGTATGCACGTAAGCAGTTGTAAAGGACACTAGTATCTCTGTTGTTTAGCCCATCAATGAAGCAATGACCCAGGCTAGCATCTAATAACACACTAGCGCTCTGAATTCTCTTCTCCATGTTCTCAATGAAAGGCAGGTTCTGTACTGGCATAACAGAAAAAAGTAGTGAGCATCAGTCATAAGACTTTCTGTTGTCTTCTGAGGCTAACAAGTATACTGGAGTTTTGCAGAACACCAGAGAACTGATAGAAGATTTTATTATGTAAATGTAATCAATTTTTTTTAGCAATCTTCTCAAAGCCAATGAATTTTCCTAACAGCACAGCCTCTTCTCAAGCCCTATATTCAACTATTTTGATCCCCAATACACTACTGTCAAATGCAGTATACTTGAAACTTCTTGTAAAAGAAACAGAGGTTCATTTCTAATGCAATCTATAATATTGAGCCTAGGAATTATGACTTCGCAAAAAAAGGAAAAAAAAAAGTAAATGCATGATGGAGACCTGTGCATGAGCCATATAGAACTTGAGGCGATTCATTTCACTAGCTATTCTTTCCAAAAGCATGCTCTGGGTTTCTCTCATGGTTGTGCCATCTTGCTGCGTAGAGTTCTCATCATTCATAGAGCTCTTTCCAATGGAATTCGCATCCTCGTTTTGCCAATCCGAAGGAGTACTTGGTAGAACTTTAATAAGCTTTTCAACCTACATTTACAATGGAATAGGCACTATTTACGTCAAGCATTGAGTATTATCTAAATGCAATTGCGAAATATCTTTGCTCAGCATAAACGGAACTACAATGCATAACCATTAAGAATCAAAAACTTATTGAAGATATTATAGAAACTATCACTGAGAGGATATACTAGGACAAGCTTACATAAATCCCGTGATCTAGATCTCTATAGCAACCAAACTAAAAATAATCGCTGAAATATGTAACCCGACATGAAATAAGACTCGAGATTACACTTGCTGAGTAGAATCATGTACCTTGGATACCACATGAAATGTGTCGAGCAACAATTCGAGAACCTCCCTAGCGGCAGCAGCATCAGAGCGCTGCTGCAATCCATTCCTTAAAGCGAAAAGTGCGGCCTCCACGGATCCACGGAATGCAGTGATCTTCTCACGGAGCTCAAGAAGCGGAGCGCGCATACGGACAACAGCAGCATCGATATCGACGAGCTTAGTGCTTAAATTGACGAAATCGGCATAGTCTCGGTTGATGAGATCAACAAGTTCACGGTTCAGAGATGCAAGGTGGGACCGGAGCTCGGATCGGAGAGTGTCAAAGGGAACGAATGTACGAAGCTCAGAGATGTAGGACTCGGAGTCGAAGCCAGGTGAGAGGAAGAGGGAAGGCTTGAACCATAGAGGATGGGAGTCGTAAGGATCCGAGAAGAAGTCTGTGGCGGATCTCGGCGCTTGCGACGGCGACGTCGCGACCAGATCTGACATTTTTCGCTTCGCTGCTTCCTCCTCGGAGTGGGAAATGCTTCAGACTTCAGTTATACATCTGTGTCGACTGCTTGCCGGATCCGAGTTACAGAGATGAATTGCGTGTCGGCACAAGTGACTGCTCGATCTAACCAAACCGGACGATCAAATATTTCGGTTTAGTCGAACCTTTTATGTCATGTATGATTTTTAGAAGGGAAAGAAAACGGTTAATACTAGTGTATACACTTACGAATTACGATGAATGTTACTTGAAAAGTCAGAGAAATATCATTCGGGATATTATATCCAAAACATACTGGAGCCAGATTTAATATCATTCGTTCGGGATTTTATATATCATTCTAGGATAATGAATATTTGCTATTGTGGAAAATCCCAGCTAATGCTGTGTTACTATGTCAAAACTCAAAAGCAAACTTAAGTACTTAACCGTAATGAAAATCAAGGTGTCTTTGGTTTGGTAAGATTAGATTGCAGAAGTCTTTCTATCAACCAACTAAACCGGTTGTTATCTCAAGCAAAGATAGGCCGATAGATGGAAAAAGTTGCAGCGTTAAAGATTTTGTATTAGAAAACTTGTGGAAAAGTGACAACTGCAAGGATGACAAAAAAAAAAAAAAAAAAAAAAAAAAAAGTGACAACTGCAAGAATCTTTTATCTCCTACTTTATTACCTATATACTATTAACCCTGAAAATGTTACATACAGTATATACTATACAATCTGCTTGCAACAGAGAGTTCTTTTAGAGACGAAAATTGAGTTATGGTTTCTCAAGTAGATTCGATCCTACTACATGTAGTAGCTGAGTGTTTCCTGCTTTCTGGATCCACCTTCCCCGTAGAGTTCGTTCCATTGTTGAAGCGCTGTCATGTTCTCAGACTCTGATGAAACACTCGAACCCACCTGATGAAACACCAATGAGAATGGTTACACTTCACTGAGCCCACAAACAATATGAAAACAACATAAGCAAATCTTACCTGTTCATGTGCGTATCTGAAATCATCCATGTTTAAAGCTCGGATATCACAACTTTCACTTTGAGCTGGAGGAACTTTGCCTTCAGCCAGAGCAGCATCTCGCTCCTACCATAATTATCCCATCATCAGCATAATTTATTCCATAGAGAAATTTACGCAAATTAAGCCATCTTGGTTCAATACAAAGACAACTCACATTTTTTTCTTTCTTCAATATCTCCTTGATCGGACGGTGGGCAGCAGTAACACATAGATTCTGAGCGCACCAAAGAAAAAAAATCATTTTTGGCAGACCATAACAATGGTTTTAGGAAATTACTATGAATTTACCTTAAGGTCGCTTCCAGAATATCCATTAGTCATGCTAGCAACCCCATCAATATCCAAATCAGGGGACAAGTCTTCTTTTGCAAGTATAACCTTTAATATCTTTGCTCTATTTGGAGCATCTGGTAGTCCCAACATCAACCTGCAGAAGTCAATACCACAAACTTTTCATAACCACTAACTTTCATGTCAATTTGACAAAAAAGCTTAATCCAACAAGGAAACGATTTATAATCTACCTACGGGGCAACCGTCTAATGACAGCCTCATCAATGTCATAAGGCCGATTTGTGGCCGCAAGAACCAGAACACGTTCCATTTCCTTTGTCCTTAGACCGTCCCAATGTATCATGAACTCATTTTTCATCTTCCGCATGGCTTCATGTTCCCTCGTTGCTTCTCTTCGGCCTAGCATGCTGTCCACCTACAAGACAGTAATTACCTCGTCAGTGCTCTGATTACAAGAAAGATTCGCCTAGGACTTGACCATGAGAAACTACCTCGTCCACAAAGATAACGCTAGGGGAAATTTTACTGGCCAACGAAAAGACAGCTTTGACATATTTCTCAGCCTCACCAACCCACTGCAGTATTGAGAAGAACCCAAGTTCAAACAAGAGATTCGGTGTATAAATTGGTAGAGTCCAACTATGCAAGGGTTTTCAGTTACCTTAGATGTGATGCTTGACATTGAGATGTTGATGAAGTTCGCATCAGCTTCCTTTGCAACTGCTTTTGCAAGCATGGTCTTTCCAGTTCCAGGAGGCCCAAATAAGAGAATTCCTTTACAAGGCTGTATAGAGAAGAACAAGAGCGAACTGATTAGGAAGCCACTCACGCACAACGTTAACCACTACATTTTAGGAGAGACGAATCTTTGAGGAAACCCAAATTATCAGCTAGTATAACTAATATCATCATTATCCACAAAAACCATGCAACTATAGTGGCACACTCAAATAAAAGGTGTTTCCTTCATACATATGTGATAAAGTCGAGGCAGGACCTAGTCAAAAAAACCTATGGCTGAAACCTAATGCGGAGAAGAGAACCACCTTTGTTAATTGCCCCTTGGAGAAAAGTTCAGGCCGTTGTAAAGGAAGCATTACCAGTTCCTTTAAGGTATCTTTAACTTTCTCAAGTGCCCCAATGTCATCAAATGTAACATCAATGTCACTGGGCTGAATAACATTACTTATAAGCCGCTTCTCAAACACATTTTCTGTTACAATGTCCTGAAAGCAACAGAGGAAATTAAAAGTTGTTACATGATATGAGCCATAGCCATAATGAGAATACTAACCTTGAGAGACTTCTTTGAGCTCGTGGAACCATTTAGAACAGCCTGTAAGAGTCCTATTGCAAATTGCATGCTGAAAAGATTCAAAGTTCGCACTCAGTACTTTGGCAGATAGTTAAGAGCAGTAATGCACAGGGACAAGCTGCCAATTACCTATCACGAGACAAAATAACCCTAGTATCTGGATCAGTATCAGGATTACGCCTTGCATGGTCGCCAAGGGCCCATCCAATGATCTTTTCTGCACCTAAACCGGAATGTCAAAGTCAACTTATAAGAAAAGCATTCCATTGTCAATTATGGTCCTCGTGTCGAACAAAGGGAAAATATACTGTCGCTTTGAAGTGTGAGATCCTTCATGCACAGCGTCTCAATTCCTTCACATTCCAGACCACATCGTCCCAACACCTGCATTGAGATGCAAATATGGAATCGTTCTTAGAACTTCTGCAAAGCCCCTATTTAAAAATAGGAAATTAAATTTTGCCAAATAATCTTGTACACCAGAGAAAAAGCAACCTCTAATTAATTAATTTTCATAAGACTTGAGAGTTTAGCAATGAAGTTTAGCTAACAGCCAAATGCCAAGGATATCATTTGGTTAGATATGTAAATCAAAGATTTCTCACTAAAATTGAATCCAAAAAGTTTCTCATCTATAAACTTACACTGTATCCAGACATAGAATGCTGCCATAACCTTATTCTAATTACATATTAAGTCCAGAGGAAAGCAAAAAGCATACCCATAGCATATATTCAGATGAAATACATACCATGCGCAAGTGATTGTAATTAGCCTTCGTTTTCAAAATCTCAGCATCACGATCCAACTGATACGTCCAGGATGTAAGTTCTTCCTCATCCTGGGAATAATTATCTCCATCAAGTCTAAGGTTTCTTTGACAGACAACAGACGAGAATTCTTATGAATAGTAGAACAGTGTAACAGACCTGGGGAATTTGAATAGTAACTTTATTCCCAAAGAGCTCCTCTAGACGTTTTGTTTCCACTGGAACTTCCACTTCCTCCCCTCGCGCATACTGTGGTCCAATATCCTAGAAATATTAGCAAAACTAACATTAGTCCCAGTATAGAAAAAAAGGATACCCTCCAGACTGAAATTACAATCGCTGGATCAAGCATGTTTCAGAGGAGCCCACACAGAGAGGAAAGGCAGAACTGATAGTTAATGTAAACTCAAAATTTTAAGGCATATGTGAGCATGGACTAATATCACAGGTAAAGATAAAGGTAAGAAATAAATACAGAAGCAGAAACCTATAAATATGCATTAATTGGTGTCAGATAATGGCTATTTGCTTCAAAAATGACTACTAATCAATAAAAGAAAATATGAGAAGACGTTGATTTACTGGAAAGTCTGGAATGGCTACGCGAAGAAAAGCAGGTAGGCTGCTGCCAAGAAAAGCAGGTAGGCTGCTGCTGACCTTAGGGAAAGATAGAGCTCCAGGATGAGACTGCAAAAGAGATGAAAGAAATGAAATTTATAAATTCGTAAACACACAATATTAAACCATACTTCAACCTATGATACGGAAAATGCAGCAGTTTGAATGGTCTGTCAAAACAAATGTGGCAATTATTTTATTTCACTACATGATTTTATAATTTCATTGCCCAAGAGACAATAAATAACTTTTGCGAAATGAGCACAATGCATGCAACTGGGGCAAAGCATCGCACTGTAACTACCTTCTCCTTGACATGATTAGGTTGAATATGTGAACAAATCACAATTACGTTTTCCGGGAGATATGCAAGTCTGATTTTGAACGCACAGTACAAATCGTAATTTCCAACAGATTGCTCGGCGTCTTTCAAAAATAGAATAAACGGACAAGTTCTGCTCTCGGCATGGACAACCTGGGAACAGATGAAGATATAAGCACAAGGAAAACAAAAATTCATTACTTTGCAACTGACAAGTACCTCAAACAATGTGTTGACAAGTAATCTATCTAGATCCTGAGAACCCGAGCTTTCGAACTGCAGATCAGCAACTATAACAAAACAGAATAAACGGTGTGTGAGACAAGATCGCTCAGGACCAGTAACCAATGCACTAGTGAACATGAAGTACCTTTGCAGAAGAACCCATGTTCCATTTCACACAGTTCACCAAGATTAACTCCATCAGGTATTGGATTATCAAATCTAACACCCACTTTAGCTGAAGGATTCTCATCAAATACTAAAAGTACTTCCCCTTTAGAACCAGGAGGAGGTCCCCTGAATAAGATTTAAGTAAAAAGTGGATCATTGAGTTAAAAGTGAATATAAAAAGGTAAGAGAAAAGGTTCAGAACGTAAATTCGTAAGTCTCACTTACAAAAAATCCAGAGATCCAGAAATAAGATGGGAACCAGATTTTGAAAAGATATACTTTTTGGATGTAAAAAGAAGAAACTTCTCTTCACCAGAACAGACAAATATTCATATTCATATTCATAGAGAACCCCGTATCCGTACCAGCAGCTGCCTCAAACAGAACTATGATAAGAAGCAAACCTTACGCCCATATCGGTAGAAGGCCCCGGATAAACCTCAGTACCCATGAATTCTACCCTGTCACCTGCAAGTGTTTTTTTCTTCCAAATGAAGTATCCGCAAACCAGAAATCCTAGAAGATTGAAGTACATCTTCTGTTGCAAACAGTTTAATGGGGCCTGCCTTTCTTCAAAGTATGATTAACTGGAGTTCTATATGAAAGAGGTAAAGTCTCCGGCTCCAACTTTGGGGGGGAGTCAGGACCAGAAGAAGTAGCAGGAGAAGGGCTAGAACTAGAAGCATCTCCTTCACCGGCTGACAAATTTGAGCTTTTCCCTCGATCAATGAGCTCAAGACTCTGTGTAGGAAGGTTACATGAATTTATAGAAGCCAAAGCCTGCAGGAAATTGCATAATTGAATTACTTGCCATAATCAGGAAAACAGACAAATAAGTGTAGATGCAAAACCTTTCCTTTTATAAACAAGCATATCAAAAAAACATACAATATATTTCTTACCCCCAGAATTGGATGACTGTCAAATATTAGCAATTTCGCCTCAAAGTGATTGGCAAGTGCTTTAGCTAACATCTCTTGGTATATTTCAGACCCTGAAACAATTCCAACCAAAATTCGAAAATTATGTTGCCGCCTAAAAGAAGTACAAGAACCACACAAGCAAGATACTACAAACCTGTGGGACCAGAAAGCAATATCCTTGGATTCAAAGTGGTCATGTTGGAGGCATAATGGGCATATTCTTTTTTCTTAAGATGTACATGTGAAGCACATATTAAGATAGTCTTTGTATATTCACTACAAAAATAAAACCTTAGTCAGCATACACAAAACGGAGAACAGTTTGTCAGTGTGGAAGACTGGAATGGAAACTAAGGATAGACTCTCATACTTTCCAACTCAAATACATCGTGAGAGAGCAGCATTAGAACTCAAAATTCTATGATGATATGAAAAGATTCGTAATGGAAGGTTCACATGCACATATTTTTAACTCTGCATATATCCCTGAAAAAAAAAAAGAATAATATTTACTTGTTGTATACCTCAAATAATAGGGAAAATTTTTGAATGAAACTTCCAAGCTTTTGCCTTCAATAATTCCAGCTTGAATGCCTTCTCTGAATTTTGCAGATCGCAGAACATTGCCTGATGTTGAAGCTTGTTGTGAAATTCTTGTCACCTCGTTTTTCTCATCTAATATCTGATACCAGCTTTTGTTAATATACTACAAAATCTTGTTGATGACGCCAGGGTAGAAGGGAAACAAAGAGTAGTTACCTTCATTTTTGAATCTTGGTTGTGGCTGCTGACTGCTCCACTATCTGCAGCTTTATTACTTTGATTGTCAACAGAAAATCTTCCTTCCATGCTGTCAACTTGGACCACAGAAGAAGTAGCAGGCTTCCCTGGTGCTTTCTGGCTCTTACGGGATGAGTCGTGCTGCAAGATTGCTAACGTTTCGATAATTGAATTACCTGTTGGATCTCTTGCCTTTCTCTCCAACTCTAGAAACTTTCCTGCAGGAACCTGAACTGTACCAGCTTTTTCTGTGACTTTAGTCAATTGCTGAAATATCTGGATAGAACTTAAGGGGAAAAAACTTATGTGCATTCCCATGGAGGTATTCATCTTAAAATTGAAGGAAAATTGTCTCCTTGCACATTTTTATACAAAAAAAAAAGAGGATACAAAAGCATAGTTCTGGTGAAGACCAAAAGACACTTCGTCACCAGAGTTTAGCACATGGCAAACATTCTTCACGACAGCTTTTCTGTTTAACCACACAGGTCCCCTGCTTCCTGTGGCCTCTAGAACCGCTACAACAATGCCTTTGCGCTGAACATGTGCACAAACAATGAGAATACATACTGCATAAAGGAGCTCACACATCTCCACAAACAACTCAAAAGTAGAAAGAACAAAAATCATAAGCACGAGAAATAGGAAAAAAACCTAAGGACAAAAATATATATATATACCTGAATTCTTGTGATTTTGCACAAGAATGAACTGATATCGTCGTCATTTAATTGGAAGTTGCAGGATATACTAAAACCAAGAGTGAAGGTCGATTCACGAATGTTAAGGGTTGGATACTGAAAATTCACAAGTAGCTCAATTTGTTAGGATATAGCATCCATAAAAGCTTTGGTAATATAAAAAGAGTTAGAGCCCATAAGAGGGTTAAATTAACCACCCGTTGAGACTGTGCCAGAAGTCGATACCACGGGCTCTTATAGCTACCGTGTACATATGTCCATCCCCGAAAAGTACTCGTATTTGGCTTCTCTTGCAAATTCGGCGCTGAGACTACAATCCAACCCAGAAAACAAAAGACTAATTGAAAATATAAAAAACAATCTCGAAAGGAATAATATTTCGGTCCCAAATACAGAAAGATCGAGCAAGAATAAGAGTAACGGACCTTTCGCAACAGGTGGTAGTCGCGCCGTCGTAGCCGCCGCTGCAGAGGCCTCAATCTTTTTGGCGTCTCCAGAGGTTGAAGTGGTTTCACCCAAATCGCTTTTACCAGAATCTGCAGGAGTCAGTGTATTAGTTTCTTTAGCCGCCGAAGCGCCGTCGCCCTCGTCCAACTGCAAACGAAAACAGAAACCCCAAAATCGACACAAAATTTCAAACCAGAAGCTCGAGACGGCAGGGAAAGATGGGGAAGAAGTAATGTCTCCGATCAGAAACCTTTTGGCGTTTGGCTGAAGGAGATTTATCTTCGGAAGAAGATGGAGGTCTCTTGCCGCTGCTTCCGTCGGGCGGGGTTGTATTGTCCTTGCCGGAGATCGATTTACCCGGTTGCGGTGACACCATGGCTCTTCTTGATATCTCTTGTTTGTTCCGATTCTTTCAATAGCAAGACTTGCGATTCTTTGAGAGTTGAAGAATCGATGCGAGAGATGATGAGCTCGCTTTGAAAGAGTGAAACAAGAAATGTGACGAGAGTATATGTGAGTTTGTGGAATATATAGTAGGCCTTTCTCGGTGGGAAAAAAATAAGAAAATAATTAATATAAAGAGAAATTTTATTTAATTAATGACAATGTATAAAGAGAATCAAACCGGTTTGGTTAAGCTTTACCCACCACTGGTTTAAAATTTCCAGTCACGGAGCTTTTAGGTCGATCCCGTCGTCCATGTCAGAAGAGCACCTGGACTAAGCACTAAAAGTCCAACCAACAGAACGTCGCTGCTTGAACCCACTGGACCAATGGCGCCTCATGATATTCGCCGTCCTTTTAAACGGCGGCCTATCTCCGATCAACAGAAACGCCGGGAACTTTCCCTTCTCCGTCAGTCTCAGCATCGCAGTGACGCTCAGCAGCGAGCTCGAAACCTCGCCTCCTCCGTAATCTCGCTCCAATCCTCCTCGCCCGATGTCGACCCGGAGATACTATCTGAACCCGTGCCCGAGCTCGACGAAGGAATCGAATCGGAATCGACTAGCTTTGACGTTCGTCAAGCTTCGTGGCTCAGAGGACCTGAGTCTCGCAAGTGGTTCGCGAGGCAGCTTATGTTACCTGAATGGATGATCGACGTCCCTGATAATTTGAGCCGAGATTGGTACTGCTTCTCTATCATCCTTAATCCTATGTGTGCTGCTTCTCTTGCTTCATAAATCATAAACGTCTGATTATGAGAATTGGTTGGTTTTTAGGTTTGTGTTAGCAAGACCAGCTGGAAAAAGATGTTTTGTAGTTTCATCTGATGGAACAACAGTTAGTAGAGTACGCAATGGGTCTATCCTGCATCATTTCCCTTCTGCGTTGCCTGGTGGTGCCAGGAAAAAAGGCGCTTCTGGACCCGCAAACTCGTATTCTATACTAGACTGCATCTTTCACGAGGTAAAATATGCTTCTTTTTTCGTTCTCTGATTGGTATGATTGATATTCTTGAGCTTACTAGGAAGTGGTTTGTTACTGGCTATGCAGCCGGATCAGACATACTATGTGATTGATATGGTTTGTTGGAGGGGTTACTCGCTTTATGAATGTACAGCAGAGTTCAGGTTCTTTTGGTTGCAATCGAAACTTGCTGAGACTGGTGCTTGTGATCCGCCTTCCTTTTATCATAAGTTCAGGTTCAGTGCTGTTCCTTTTTATAACTGCGACCAAACCGGACTTCACTCCGCCTATACAGGATCATTACCTTATGTCAAGGATGGACTGCTGTTTTATAACAAGTAAGTGCATCATTTTATCTCGCCGACTTGTAAGATTCCATCATGTTTACTGCGCTGCCCATCTTTCCTTCTCCTGCTGTCTGAACTTGCTTAAAGTTTGGGTGCCTTGAGGTTTCTAGTTGTAATCAGCTGTTCTCTTGTTAATCTAGTACTGTTGTAACTAGCCTAGGATTTGTGTAGTTAATTGTAACTTTTCCATCTCAGCAGAGGACCTTAAGTCATTAGGTGAAGATGAAGGTTGTGAAGGAAGATTAGGGAATGCATTTGGTTATGATGGTAGGGTTTTAGTTTAGGCAGTAGGGTCGGTAACCGTTAAAAAAATTCTTCTGGACATTTGGTTATGATAAATGATGATTACATTAGAAAGAGGACCCATCTTTTTATCCTCTGTTTTATGAATGTTACTGTATAATATCACTGGTTGCTTCATCCTCTTGTTAGTATCATGGCATCATTGTCTCAACAGTCTAGTGTTCTTCTTGACTCTTTCCCCACTAAATTTCATGTAATTCACACAGACATGCACATTATCTTAGTGGAAATACTCCTCTTGTGTTGATATGGAAGGATGAGAGCTGTAGTCAGTATGTCATCGATACAGATAACAATGGAGAAATTCCAAACCAACAACATGTAAGTGGATTTACATACATTTTCATACAAAGTGTTTAGTGTTACACTTTCATTTATAAAGTCTTAACATATTCTCTTTGTATTTTGTATATGCAGATCGTCTTGGAGTTGCAAGAAGAAGGAAAACTTGTAACATCAGATGATCCACCTGTACAATTTAGTTGCTTAAATGCAGATTTTGTAAAACAGGTATGTTCAAAATATAATAGACTGATTTGTATTTCCTTACCAGTCTATAAACCAAGATTGTATGATCAGCATTTGGGCGAATTGAAAATTGTAAGAATATATTATCTTCTTTTCGAGTTACTGTGCCTATGTTAGTTATAGAGACTCTGTGTACTCGGAAGTTAGTGATATTGCTTAGTAATATCTTCTTTCTAGCACCAACGGATCCCTCTAGCTTAGTACTGCTCTCTTTGCTCTCTTTGTTATAGATTTCATGCACCCGTAATAACAGATTGCATTTAAATTAGCTAAGGATGATTTCACTCTGTGTTATTTTGCTAAATGTGCTGTTCGTGCTATGTCGGATGTTAAAGTCAGGACTGTCTTCAGGAAGTCTTATTCGTTTTGCCATTGGCGATGGAGGGCTGAACTGTGTGGATGGTAGATTTGAGAAGGCGGATTTGCAATATATTGGAGTGTCAAATCGAGCCAGAGCCTTTGCTGATAGCTATTCCAAGGTTGGTACTCTCTTTCTTTGCATATGCATACCAACTTTAGGAGAAACATGTTTATGAATTGACTTGAGCATTTACAATCCATCTTGCAGATCATGTTTCAATATATGGCCCGACATTCTCCCCTGAAAGTGGAAGATCTTGCATCTACGATTTCGCATGAGAACCAACAAGCCAAGACCCCTGAAGTAGAGATGTCGGATTGACCAGTAGAGAATCAAAAGTATATTGTTTGTTCACTGTGTTGTGTTCGTGCAAACAGAGGGAAGCAAATTCTTAAAAATGTAGCCACCTTTTTTTTGCTTCTCACAAGAGTTATGATTGAAATTTTCCAGGAAAATGAAAAGAAAAAATTATTTATAGTAAAACCCTGCAAACGAAGATATCAACAAATATTCCAATAAAATCGAGTAAGTAGCTAATTATTTGGAAGCAAAAAAAGAAAAAAAATTATAAAAAAACTAAGAAGCTAATTGTTTGGAAGGACAGATGTAAAAAGAAAAAAAAAAAGATCATGAAGCTGATGTAGTGGGCTCGCAGCTATCGTGAGTGCAAGCCAAAACATCTCTGTAATCTCTGGAGATGTTGAAGGAGTCATACACTTGGCCAGTGCTGCTCTTCTTGTACTCAAAGAGAAGCGATGAGTGATCGAAAGCAGTCAACTTCACAAACCCAAAGTCATAGTCTCTGACCAAACTCCATTTGGGTACCAGAGAGCTAAAGGGAGACAAGTGACTTCCAGCACCACCAACAACAACGTGGATGGTTCCTTTGAAGGTCCCTGAGTAGTGATCCTTATCATTGTTCACACATTGGCTCTGCAATAGAAAACCAAAAGGTAAGTGAAGAGCTCAGCGACCGAAAATCGAGCAATCTATGATGGGATCAAACCTCGTAAATGGGGCAGGTTCGCTCATAGTTATGGACATGGCCGTAGAAAGCAAGGTCTACTTTGTACTTCTGCCATAGTTTCTGTAGGCTTTCTCTTCCCATCGGCTCTTCAAAGGTTCCTTCTTTGCCATACCAATCATTGGTGGAATAACCAAGGACACGATGAGCCATAAAGATGAGCCAAGGCTGAGTCTTTCTGTCTACAGAGGCAAGGCAACGCTCGATGAATTGATATTGCTCTGTGCCTTCTCTCCAATCGTGTTCAGTGTCTGCTATACAGAAGCGGAACATCCCGTAATCCGCTCTGTACCTGCCCATTAAACCGAGATATGTAAGATATTGTTATGGAACTTGCAAGAAATCGTCAATGGTTATTAACTTTACCAGAATTTAGCTCGGTTCTCAGCAGGAAAGTAGAACATGGTCTCTGCAGGAACACCACACTCTCCTCCAGAGTCTGTCCCGGCATAGAAAGATCCAGTGTCAGGCCAATCACGCTCGTGGTTTCCACTGCAATGAAAAAGGAATGACTTGAAGCACTGCAAGAGTAGTAGAGGAAGAAGAACAATGATGAAGCTTTTCTTATTGACTAACCTCCCAACCATGTAGGGGACAGTAGAAGCGATGGGCTCAACTTGAGCTGTGAACTGATCCCACTGGGAGATGTAGCCATTGGAATAAGTGAGATCTCCAATGTGGAAAACAATGTCAATGTTCTTCAAGTCCTTGATGACTTGGTCTGTTGTATTGAGGGAACCAGGTTGGTAATCATTGTACTCATTAGAGCCATCTCGCTCACCCTGAAAAATAGTTAATCAAGGAAAACCATTTGAGATATTAATAGCGCATGGAGATCATAATGGCCTAAAAGAAACATACCTTCCCCATGTCACCAAATATTATGACCCGTTGTAGCGAGTCTTGTCCAGGGTAAGGAGATGACACGAAGGTGTAATTCTTGCTCCAAATCGTTGTCCCATTGACCAAGTCATGGCCTAGCCTATATGTGTATCTGGAAACCAAAGGATTGAGAGTAAGCAGTTATGAAACTAGATTGGTACTCCTGGTTTAGAGTAAAAAGAGGCAAAGTAGAGATTTCATACTCGCGGTTTGGCCAGAGTTCTTTCAAGAAAGAAGTATGAAAGAAACCAGGATCACGCCAACCAACGGAACGAGCAGGGTTACCTGTGTAAACATCACATGTATCCAAAAATCAAATCTCTAGAATGATCCAGATGAATAGGTTCAGATATCCCATCACAAAAAAAGGACGTACCACACATGCTGTTTCTGTTGAAGGTCACTGTTCCAGCTGGTGATCTTCTACTTGGAAGTCCCTTTGCACTCCATTCAATGAAAGGAACAGCCTCATTTATGTTGTACCCACTCGTCCATGTCACGGTCATCTATCAAAAGAAAGATCAAAAAGAAGCCTGTTTTAACCAACTCCAAAACTTTGTATTCCCTTTGACTCAAGTAAGTTGTGGAAAAACTTACTTCATCCCAATTCTTCGTTAATGCAAGACGCGGGTAGACAGGTGCTTTAGGATTGACGAAAGCTACAGGATTCGAAACCCCGATAAGATGTGGCTGTGATATTCAAAAGATCAATAAGTCCACTTGGTATATATTGCAGGTATACAATATACTAAAACCTGAGAAAGCTACTATAGTTAACCAACCGTTTGAACTCCATTGGTAAATAGTGCAAAAGAGATATCAGCTCTCTGATTTATAATCTGTAACTTGAAAGTCACATTCCCTGACTTCATATACTCCGGATGAGTGTTACAATAAATGTACTAGCAAATAGAAAAAAAGAAATGTTAGCAGGACTTAAATCAAGAAATCATAGATCAATCAATACATGTAAAAAGAAAAAAATCCAAACCTTGATGGGAGATGAGCATATGTAAGGAGTTTTCTCTTTGCCACCATTTGTTGGCCAACAGTTACCCGAGCTAGCAACAAAGACGAATTAATAATGCACAACAAAAGGCACGTTCACACAATCTAGCTATATAACAAAAACACATATGAAGGTTAGATCATAAAATACTCGAATTTAGCTGGCGAGAAAACTCCAATCCAGTCGTTTGAAGAGGGCTTGGGGTTGGAGATAGCAACATGTACCCATTCAGTATCTTCCCCCTGTTAGATGAAAGTGAGATATCAAAACAAATCGATGAAAGTTTGGTTTCTGAGATACTTGATGAAATCAAGAAGACATATTCTCTCACTATAACGGCTAAAACCAGACCATTATACAAAACTTTGACATTGAATAATCTCCTAAGAATATATATATATATATATTAGTAAAAGTAGAATCTGACAAGAACAATAACATCAAGAAAGACTTAGTTTTGGAACCTGAGAGCCAAGAACTTGAGGGGAAGCGTGAATCTTGACAGAAGTATCCAAAGCAAGACTGGTTTCGTAGATGTTAATCTGAGCCAGTGCTTGATCTCCTCGACCATTACTATTTGCATGCCCCAAACATAAGCTCGAGCTTAGCAGAGCGGTGAAACACAGAAGCACAAGTAAAACTCTAGCCATTGTTTCTTTGTTGTGACTTAGAAACAAAAAACCTCGAGATGGATATTTATTATAAATTTTATAATCAGGTTGATATCTAAAAGAATCTTCAAATATTGATTCATCTCTATCGAGTTCAGCATTCCTCGATTATCCAAAATATTTTCTTTCACCGTTAAGTCATTGTGATAGAATATTCTAAAAGTTTATTTCTTGATTAAAATAATATTCTAACAGTTTTTTTTTTTTTTTTATTAATGATAGTAACAGTTTAAAAAATTTTAATGATAAACCAAAAAAAATTAGATTTTCCGTTTTTTTTGTGGGACTTATTAGGCTGATCGGGGTTGGACCGGCTTTTAACCGGAAATTAAATAAAGTGGACTGTCATTGGCTGTGGGGAGCATCACATCGGAGAATTCATCTGAAGAAGAAGAAGATGAAGAAACCGTCGAAGAAGAGCGAGACCGAGTTCTGCAAGGTGTGCCGATTGCATCACGACCAAGGCTCGCGCCACAAGTACTTCCCTCGCCACAAAGACTTCCTCTCTACCTTCCTCGATCGATTCCGTTCGAAGATAGCTGACGTCAGATTCTTCCTGAAGAACCCTAGCGTTCTACGACCAGAAGAGCAGTCTCAAAACCGTGTTTGGTGTGTCTTTTGCGATGAGGACATTGTTGAGCTCGGTAGCTCCTTCGCCTGGTATGCCACTACTTCATCTCTTTCCTATTGATTTGAGTCTTTTTGTTCCTTTTACGAACCTAGTAGCTTTGTTACTTGAATGGTATGTAAAATCGGCGTGTGCGAGAGAATTATTGTTGTTGATAGAGAGTTAACTGGGATTGTAACACATAGAAGGAGAAAATTTGAAGTGTCTTCTGATGATAATTTTTTTCTTTTACTACACATAATATTTGGTTTGGATACTTTTTACCAGTTCTAAGGCAATCAATCACTTCGCAAGCTCGGATCATCTTAAGAATGTCAAGCAGTTTCTTTGGAAAAATGGCCCGGCAATGGATTGCATAGACGATTTCCGAATTTCAGAAGCTGATGTAGCTAAGGTATGCACTATGTACGAGAGGGTTATGCTCTTCTGTTTAAAAGTTCTTAATCTAATTGTCGCCAGTATTTTTTCATAACCTGGGGCACAAAGCCACAACCTTCGCGGTTTAAAAGTGTAGCCGTGTTATTTGTTGAAGTCTCTAATGGAATTCTCTCTATGCTGGATGCAGTGGAGAAGAAAATGCCAGTCATTGGGAAATGAAGATGCATCCTCTTTTAAAGGGTCATGTGGACAGTCTGGGACATCTAATGATATCCACAATAAACTTGCCTTTAAAACTATGGATAAAATTGAAAATGTTCCTGCACCCCATATAAATTCACATCATTCCAATGATGTTATGCCTTTACAGTATAATACGAATAAGTTTCAGATATCACATTCAGAGCTTTCTGGAGTTGCACATCATGCTTCATATCTGAACATGGATGCTTCGCACCTCCCTTTATGTACTGATCCGCTGAGTCATCTACCAGGTATTCTTTTTTCTACTTCTAATCTCTATTTTTTTTTTTCAGTTTTGGAGTATAACAAGTTGTATATAATAGTCTCAATGAATTATGTTCTCTAGGGAACGGGTTTGGCAAAGATTCCATTGCTTCTAGAACCAAGGATTTCCCGAGCAATGGTAATTATTGCAATCAAGAGGTGCGTTTCAGTTATAGAAACATTAGCTATGCTGCTTTTGAAATACTGATGTGTAATGTTTTCAGCTGCTTCTCAAAAGTAAGGTGAGAATTAAATGATAGATCTTTTAAATCAAATAAGACAATCAGTTGTATTTGAAAGGTTGGTTGTATTTTTAATACATATTAGATATTAGACGATTGAGTAAAACATTTGGTTGTTCCAGATGTCATTCAAAGTATTTACTTGTCAAATCTGAAATAGTTTGTAACTACACTTTAGATCTTCATTGTTATATTGACATTGCACTCTTCGTGTTAGATAAGATGATCTGTAAGATACTTGGCTTAGAAATTTTGGTTGTAGGCAATGCTTGTAAAGGTAATGGCAATAACTATTCCTTGGTTCAGGTTTGCGTAATTGTGTAATCATCAAACTTCCATTATGATTGAGTCTCCTTTGTCCATGTGTTCAATTATGTCATGTTATTCCTTCGGGTTGAACATTTACACACTCATTTTCCAAGTCCAGACTTTTTCATATAAGCCTATTTACTAACATTGTCTTCATTCCAGGATAAAAAACAAATTAAGGGCAGTTACAGTTCTCCTGGTAGGCTGCTACTTGGCATTCAAACTTTATCTGTATTGTGTTAATTTTATGATCAGTGCTCCAACATCTAGGTCTATGAAATTTATTGATGTAGCCATTCTGATATGCACTTAGTATTAATTGGATTTATACTCTTTTTTCCTTTTCAGATGGGTTGGTAGTGACAAGCATTTCTTCCTCACATTCAAGCGATGCTTGCGGGAATGTTCACTCTGGAGCTCCTCCACCATGGCTTGATGCAAATGATGGGAAATCTTCTAATGTTCAACTAAACCAATCAGACATGAGCAGCTTTCAGGCAAAGATACCTGGAAAGACTCGTAAGCTGAATCCTAACAGGGTTGGCGCTGAATGGGCTGAAAGGAGAAAAATCGAGATAGAAATGGAGAAGAGGGGACATGGAATAAATAATAAGATTGATGCAGATTGGCTTCCTAACTTTGGTCGAGTTTGGCAATCAGGCACTCGAAAAGAGTCCAGAAAAGAATTTGAAAAGGAAAAACGGAAGTTAGTAAAACCTGAAAGCATCTCTATAGAATCAGAACCAGTCAAAGTACAACCGTACATTAGCAAACGGGCGGTAGGTTTTACCTTTATAATAACATTTAATTACAAATGGCTGGTATCATGTCGGTTAGTTTTGTTTCTAATCCTCGACTTATTTGTTTGGATTGATATTTCTCTTAACCACATATCATGTGTGCTCCTTTTATACTCAACATAAATGGATACATTTTGCTTTGTTGATACTGTCTTTTTAATATACTTTGAGATATACTTTTCAGTGGCCTTATGTACTTACATTAATTGTGGTTGCAGCGAAGAGAGAGTGTTGAAAATGGATGTGGCTGACATCCAAAAAGGCAACCAGTACGAATTACTCATGTAGAAATTTTATAATCCTCTTTTCGTGGAGATCCTGCTCCAGTGTATTTTGTTTCTTATGTCGAGCTATGAAAGAATTTTAGAGGTATGTAATCCTAGATACTCCTTTGAAGTAGTGTAAAAATTGGATGAAATATTTTATTTTTTGGTAGGAAGAAAGGGTTAAAGTTTTATGTAGCTTATGTAGTAATGGAATATAGCATAGAGAAGGCCTCTCTGCGACCATCTGATCTTCCTTTGGGTTCTTCTTCTTAAGAAACATATATATCTTTCCATCTGATGTTTCTTGTTCTTGGGGAAATAAATGAAATAACTGTGTGGTGCATAGATTGTGGCCATTTCAGCAAATTGTATCCATTTTCTAGTTGGACACACATTTTAGGAATGACATTTATACACTGTTCAAATATGTTTCCTTAAGCTGATTTGAGATAAAGAAGCAGTAGTGTGTCGAACTAAGTGGCAATAATGTTGCTCTTGTTTAAATGTACAAAATTTTACTAATGTCTGATGAGGACCATTTCTGGTGAGCAAAACCTGGATGCATTTGATTGTCCCTTTATACTAAACTTCCAGAAGTTCCCTTTAGCTGAAACCAGATTCTCCTGACATAAGAATTCCCAGGAGAGCCACTTCTCAGCAGTCCTGTGCACATCATGCACGAAAACATCTGTTGTTGAGTTATTACTTCCTTCTCTTGCTAACACAGCTGCAGTATATATGCTCCCCATCCTACCTGGTGCCTCTAAGTTGTCCCCACGAGGTCCATCAACAACTATCACATCCCATTTGATATTGTGTACTTCCAGTGGCAAATCCCTCAGTTCCATTTTGCATTGTGATGAACCTTGTTGTAGATTATTCATCTTAGGTGCGCATGCAGGATTGGCTCGAGTATGTCGAAGCAGATTGTAAGCATTTTTCATTTCCATCTGATGGTATTTTAAGCTGTAGATTCTTGTGTTGTTTGGGTTTACTTTAGCTTTTGGTATCATTATCTCTGCAGGCTCATCTTCTAGAATGACGGTAATACCTCTAGTGTTGATTGAAGATAACATGAGGTATTGAGGTGCAAACCCGAAAACAAGAACGTTGCAAGGGGATCTACGAGTAACAGTATCTGATAAGAGCTTCAGTTCCTTTTCCGTGAGAGCACTTGGGCCCTCATTAGCCCTGAGCTGCTGACTGAACTCAGATGGACTCACACGATATGTGGTTGAAGATGAGGACCTAGAAGCAGAGGATGAAGACTTGTATGAAATCCGGAGGAGTCGGAGAACGGAGAGGCTTGAAAGAACAAAGATAAAAAGAGGTATGAGTTTACGCACAGTGAACTTTGGCATCTTGATCTTTGATTCTCTCTGGTGTTTGTGATCATCAGGAGAGGAAGGAGGTGAGAATCTGAGTAGAGGATTTAGAATAGGAAGTGAAGATTGATGAAGTTGCGGAGGCATTATCACTATTCTCACCGCTCTCTGAATATCACCTGGTTCTCAAAAGGGTTCATGTCTTTTGATTTTTAACTGATCATCAATTATGTTTGTCAGTTTGTGTCACCTTCGAGTGAATAACAAGGAAAGGTCGTATTGCTTCTGTTCGAAGATTCTCACTTTATTCCTTTTCTTGTTGTCATGTCGGAAATTTGCTGGTTAGTTTGGATGTACCTAATATCATAATGATTATTATTTTTCAATTTGTCATGTCAAAAATATTGGTCGAAGGAAATAAACGTTTATCTAAGTGATTGCAATAGGGGATTAAGGTGGTCCGTTATCGTAGGCGACAAATCTTAACAGTGCTAGCATTAAAATATGGAAGCTTAGATTAGAAACAAAAGGCATCGAGCAATTACAGATTTGAGGAATATTCGAAAGAATTTGTCAAATATTGGTCTACTCAGACTGAAATCTCTGGCTTAGTAATTAAATAGGATTTTGTCAAAATATTGGTCTACCCAGACTGAAATATCTGGTTTGGTAATTTGATAGAATTTTAATCTGCAAGTTTCGTAACCGTAGCTAAGGGTTTGGCCTCGTCCAAAACTTCCAATTTATAATTGTAGAGCGAAATAAACAGTGACATATCTCAAACAGAATGCAAATTACTGGAGACTGATCTCAAAAGTGTGGGTTAACTAGGTCAACAACAAAAGTTTCCTCTTTTTGAGTATCTGAACAAACAAACAAAAAAACTGTGAAGTGTCTTCATGAAACAACGAAGCTTTAACTACCCTTTTCCATCTTTATCTTCCCTTGATATCTGCAGACAATTCAAACCAAACTTCAGAATAGTTCCAAAATTACAAGGGCATGGTAAAGCCACTTTTACTATGCAATATCCCATCCGTCTATATGATCGAAATTACTTTGATTACGCATATTCCCTTTACCATGTCAATGCAGAGTTCATGATCAAATCGCAAGTATATCAGCAGTACTAAACAAAAATCTGAGAGACACCACAGAAACTAAAAAAAAAAACTCAAGCTAAATAACATTCCTTTTACCACCAAAATTTTAGAGTACTATCATCGGAACAAATAGTTCAAGGTCAATGCAAAGTTCATAATCGAATCCAACAACACTTTGAACCAAACCAACAGTTCCATGATATTGATAAACAATCCTAGTAGATGTCCATATGCAAATTGCTTATTTAGTATATCTAATGACCGAAGAAATTAACTTTTACTGTCTAATCAGCAGCTTTAGACTTGGGGTCATGGCAATCTAATGAGCTTCTAAGAGATGTAGAGACAGAGCAGACAAGTACTCATCAAACAAAAACATCTTAGATATATAGATGAATCCATGTTACACAAAGTAGCTTGCTAACCAATTATAAAAGTACGAAAATCATCAATTAATCATCAATATCAGACAAAACTCCCGAATAGATTCATGCATGGCTGGGAAAGAAGGAACTGGTGCAGAGAAATATTACCTAAGTGGCACCGACGATGATGTTGTTGATCGGAATAAAGATGAGCTTCACAAAGAAGCCCACGAATCCCATTACTACGAACCCAATAGCTGTACGCACTGCAACTTTCGTGAATTCTACAACAAACAAAAAAGGCAACAAACACTCAGCACACAGATCTCTCCATTCAAATTCAAACAATACCAGATCTTCCCAATCCAAAAAATACAACTCGATAGATCCAGCAGCTCAGACGATTAAAAATACACAGATCGCTCATCATTACCTGATCTAGAGACACCAATTTCAAGCTAAGAAAAAAAAAATGCAAAATTCGTTGACCAGTGTCGTTCAATACCTTTGCGATCTGGCTTGTGACAACGCTTAACGAGGCGAATGCTGTCCTTGGCGAAGTCTCTAAGAGGATCGACGACGGAATCGATGGCGTCCATGGCGCTTTTTTTCTGACGACTTTTTTTTTTAATTTTATTTTGCGTTTTCGTTTTTATTCGAAAGAGAGAAAACAAATTGGGAGTCTTCGGAGAAAATCAATGACAAAAGGGCTATATAGAAAAAGAGAGAGAGGGAACGTCACATGGATATTGAATAGCCAATCACAGACCGAGCCTCGACGGACGTATGCCATGTCAGCAAAGTCAATACCTTAATGGGCTCACACAGTAACTTCATTCAAGCCCACGAAAACAAAAGCCCCATTACTTTGAACAATTTAAAGTTTTGCTAAGTATTCATTCAAATGATAATATGATAATTTCTACGCACCTAAATCCCTTAGATATTATAGGAGAAGGACGCGCAGACAAGTCGCTAGAACTAACTGGGAGGAATGACACTTGTAGTTAGACCTGTTTTGCTGGTCAAAAGAAGACGCTCCACCAATACTACTCGCTATATGCTCCCAGGAGGCCGCACCAATATTACTGACTTTATGTCTTATGACCCCAGGTTCATAAATTTGCTCTTGCTATACTTGATTCTTGCTAACAAATTAAAACCTCTCTCATTAGTTTCCTTGTTATACTCTCCATTAGGTCCTAAGAGGGTTGCTCTAAAGAAGAAGATGGAGATGGAGAAGAAGAAGAAGATGAAGAAGTAGAAGGCTCTCGCTTAGGAGAAGACGAACCTCTTTGGTGTTTTTAACTGTGATACATAATTACATACATACAATGCAACCTTTGTTTTTCTTTTTATTACTCCCGCTTAAGACACATGTACATCTAAGTTACTTAACACAAAAATCACTTGGTTGAATACACTCCTCTCTCTCTCTTAAGCCTTAGTACAATACTATAAGTTATACTATTTAACATTTGAAAGTTGAACAAGCTTTCTTTGATTTTCTCAAAAGGACAAATAATCAAACTCGTATTTTATGTCTCAAGCAGTGCGTTGTAAGGCTATGGAGAAAAAAAAACATTACTTAGCAAACATATTCTATTTACTCCATGGATTCGAAGGTAGGAGCATACCAACCGAGTTGGTCGATGAGCTTATTCATCCTCTCTTCTTGTCCCTTAGAGTCTCCAAAAGCAGTGGTGAAAGGATACACGAATGTAACCTTAGTGGCCATACACCTGTAAGCAACCACATCTTCCTTCACCAAAAACTCCATCACATCTCTGCTAAATCCTCCTCCTTCTACCTCTGCCTCCAAATATCTCCCTGCAAATTATTGTGTATTATATATAATCCGATTTCTCCATAACTAAGAGTCATTACAACCACACATTATGATTCTTGGTGACAAATAATTACCATATGGGGTATCTTCAAGAACCACAAACTTAGGATTCTTCTGAGTGCTCACTAATGCATCTTTCAATTTCTGTGTTGAAATGTTGAATCAGAAACAAGAATTGAGATGATGAAGATCATTAAGGTAGAAATAGAGAGACCTGAATGGGATCTTGTCTATCGGTTTCAGGGATCATCAATGGAAATGAGAAGGAAGATGAGGTTGGATTCGTCGATACACATCCTGGGTTCGTGGAAGGGCACGGCCTAATTTTGCTACACATAATGACCCAAGAAAGAGTAGCTAGAATCAAAAATAAAAAGCAAAAGCAAACTATTCTCAGTTAAGAGCGGGAAGAGGAAACAAACCCATTGAGAAGACCGGTCTGGACGAACTTGGATTGGGTGAAAGGAGTGGTGGGTGGCTGAGAAGAGGAGAGAGAAGGAATGGCTAAGGCAGGGGAAGAAGAGGTTAGAGAGAGAGCAAGAGCAAAAGAGATTAGGTTTGGTAAAAGAGAGCTTGGGGAAGAAGAAGAAGAGAGTTCTTGACTTGGTGTTGGGTGTTTCAATGAACAGGAGAACTTGGTGGTGGTGCTCGGTCGTGGCGGGAGGATGAGCTGCAAACTGGTGACCAAACTCATGTTTTAGAGTTTATGGGTTACTCTCTTCTCCTCCAATTATTACATTCCCACTTACAAATAGTTTATTTAATTTTTAACAAAAAAAATAAGTTTTAAGTTTTTTTTTTTGGTCACCAACAAGTTAAAAGTTATTTTAATTTGTTATTTCCCAGGAAAACAAGAAAAATATATATACATAAAATTGATGTTCAAAAATCGAAATGAATATAAATGGTTTACTAATTAGAACCCCTTTCATACTCCTCTTGTTTGAGTATCCTCCAATGTTCTCACTCCAGAGGTCATCAATTTTCGAGAATTCTTTTTTCTTATTTTGATTCTATCTACTTATTTAAAATACTTGTATAGTTTTTATCTACATAAAAAAATACAATATCCGAAGTACATTGTAACTAATACTAACAGAATATAGAATGTATGTTGAACAATTATAGCCCTTATTTATATAATAAGTTGCATTGAATCTTACATTTATTAAATCAATTTGATTTCAATAAATACTGACTCCATGGCACAAGAGAAATCAGATTTAAGAGAGAGAGAGAAAGAAATGAAACGTCAGAAAAGAAGTTCAATCGTCTTGAAGAATCTATGTATTTTTTTTATTTTTTTTTTTAGTTTTAACCTACGAATTCAAAATACTGTTTTTTTTCGTCTTCAAATGCAATAAGCCAAATTCGATCCTTTTGCAGAGTTTGTGCAGGGAAAAGAGAATGAGAAGGATTCCAACGGACAAGGAAACTCTAGTTTCACGATTTCGCAGGTATGCTAATGCTTGACTAAGTTTTCATTCCTTTTTCTTTCTTCTTCTTTGAATAGCATTACTTATCTCATAAAATTTTGATAAAGATGGAAAATGCAAACAAAGAGGGAAAAGCTTTTGTCAAAAAATTTAGTACAGTATTGTGTCTCACAACCATTGATAGTTTTACTAGATTATTATGTTTACATTGGAGAAGAAAAGACTAGTGTATTAGGATGAACCACTAATTAAGAGTTAAGACCATATGTACTGTATATTAGTTTGTTTTAAACTCGAAGTAAAGACTACTATTATTACACACAAGCACAAGCACCGATGAGAATCTGACATTGTTATGGTGCCATGTAAAGGTCGTGTGGCTAACTAAATCTCATTTTAGTCGCCTCTGGAGATATTCTTTTAGTATCATCAGTTTACGAGTAACGTCAATTCTTAAAACATCTGTAAATTGGTGTTTTCTATCTATAAAACTCATACGTATTTTTAAAAAATATTTGTTTTGCGGTTGAAACATTTAGGCATTTCCATTTATATTTTTCTATTTTAGTAAATTACTGAGAGGAATAATAAAAAATAAAATAAAAGGGGATCACGAGCGTTGACCAAAAATCGACTAGGTGTTGCGCAAGGTCCAGTTACAAGATAATCGAGTGATGATATACACACACGCTAATTCCAGTTTCTGAAAGCAAAGGGTTTTGTTCAATTGATAGCTTGAATTTGCGAATGGACGGCGAAGAGCTCACCGAGCAGGAGACCGCCTTGTACGACCGCCAGATTAGGGTTTGGGGTGCTAATGCTCAAAGAAGGTTACTTTCTCATCCCATTCTTCTTCTACTCTAACACTGTTCCTACTTTGTACCTTTACTGTGTTCGCGTTGATTTTGTTTCAATTCTGTTTTTTACCCGAGTTAGTTGCTTCTACACTATTGAACTCGTCACTTCTGAGATGAACATGTCTCTTCTGTTACTGGGAATTTCCAAGGTTCATGTTTCCCCTGAGATAGTGTCTTAACGTTGACGTCATTTTTCTACTAGTGTAGTGTATTTGGGTTTTACACTTGTAAGGTTTAACCTGATAGATTGATGTAATGGTGGTACTCGTTGTTCATTCACATTTTTCTTTTTGTGCTTTGCTTGCAGATTGACCAAATCTCATGTCTTGGTATCTGGAATAAAGGGGACTGTTTCTGAGGTAGGCTGTGACTCTATGATTTATGTTGAGATATCATGCTCTTCAATTAGTTAGTTAATCTAATAGTTTTTTACTGCATTTCCTGGACTTTTGTCTCCATTTGGTGGGTAGTTTTGCAAGAACATTGTGCTGGCAGGAGTTGGTAGCGTGACCTTAATGGATGATCGTTTGGTGAACGAGGAGGCCCTGAACGCAAACTTCTTAATTCCGCCTGATGAAAACGCTTATCGTGGTAAAACTGTTGCTGAGATTTGCTGTGACTCACTCAAGGATTTTAACCCTATGGTCCGTGTTTCTGTAGAGAAAGGTTTCCCTCTATTACCTCTCCTTTAACGTCTTAATGACATACCGACTCTCGTCTGATCATTGTTTCAAATCTTTCAGGTGATTTGTCAACACTTGGAACTGAATTTTTCTCGAAGTTTGATGTTGTGGTTATAGGCTATGGTTCTCGTGCTACCAAAGTATGGATAACAGCTTTTACATACTTTCCTTTTGCTTTCACCTTCAGTTGCTTCATAACAATGTATATTCTTCTTTTCTTTTGCAGAAATCTGTCAATGAAAAATGTCGGAAATTAGTCAAACGTGTGGCATTCTATACAGTCGATTGTAGAGACTCATGTGGTGAGATCTTTGTCGACCTTCAAAATTACAACTACACAAAGGTACTTACATGATCTGATGTTACGTTCTTCCTGTCCACTATATGCTGCTTCGTTTCATCTAGCTCAAGTTTAAGTCCATTAACACCTCCGAAATACTTAATATTTAATCGTCCTTTGTATTGCTTTCTTGGCAATTGTCTCTCCACAGAAGAAGCTTGAAGAGACAGTGGAATGCGAACTAAATTTTCCGAGTTTTCAGGTATAATTCAACAATGTTTTTTGCTAGTAAAAATCCTTACATATGCATATGTAGTAAACATTAACTTTTTTGGTTTATTGCCCCAGGAAGCTATATATGTACCATGGAAACCGATGCCTCGGAGAACAGCAAAGCTCTACTTTGCTATGAGAGGTTGTTACTACTCACTGCAGCTTTATTCTTGATTGTTTTCCAGAAATAAATGAAAAATGAAATCCCATTGCAGATACATATAACAAAAGCTGCTTCTCTAATCTTTGGTGATTCTTGTGAAAATTTTCAGTAATAGAAGTATTTGAGGAGAGTGAAGGGCGTAAACATGGAGAATGTTCACTACTCGATCTTGCCAAAGTCCTGGAAATCAAAAAGCAACTTTGTGAGGCAAATGTAAGCAAGTGTTTTTTTTTGGTTTGCCATTCTTTAGAAAATGTCAGTTCATTGAAAAACTGAATATTGCAACAGTTTGTGAGCGAGAGCCATATACCAGATAGTCTCTTGGAGAGACTAATCACTGGTACTATTGAATTCCCACCAGCTTGTGCCATTGTCGGTGGAATATTAGCTCAGGTTCTTTCTCTCTCCCTCTCTTTCCAGCATTCGAATCTTCTCACTAGAAACTTTGAATCTGACAAGAACGATTATGATGATGTTGCAGGAGGTGATCAAAGCAGTATCAGGCAAAGGAGACCCTTTAAAGAACTTCTTCTTCTTTGATGGTGAAGATGGAAAAGGTGTGATGGAAGATATTTCTAACTCTTTTACCTCTTAGTTAGTATTAAGTGTTATAACCTGTGACTCCTAAATTTCAATTGACTCTGATGTTTTATGAGATTCTATTTATAACTCAATCGTTTCTTTGCTTTACATTATGAACGTATTAATGCAAAAATTATTCTGGAATTTCGTGTGGTCAGTTAAGATTTTCCGGGATAGAATCATTTTCTTCAGTTATTGACATTTGAACTGTTGATTTCAAATTTCAAATATTATGTATTAATTCAAAGAGTAAAACTCAGCTAAAAGTAATTAAATAGAGATTAGAGAGTGAGATCTCAAAAGATTTCACCCTATTATAAACCACATTCTTGTTGATTCATAGTAAAGTAGTAGATTGTAAGAAAAGAAGATGGAAGAAAGAGAGGAGAACCAACACGAACGACTGGAGCAGCAGTTGAAGGAGCTCGAGAAAGAATGGACAGCCATGAAGACAGGTAAAAGCTCATCTGCGGTTTCAAGGATCACTGTGGAAGAAGCTCTTGAGATTGTCGAAAACTCTCCAAGGAACCTAATGCTCTCACTCCAAAACGAACCAGAGGCAGAGAGCACACAAGTAAGATCACCCTTAAGGAGAAAACTATTTCACGACTCTGATAATGATGATCAAACCAAGAAGGGGGCATCGTCTTCTCATTCATCTTGTTGGTCTTCGAATGTGACGAGTTCGAGTGATAATACGAAATCGAAGAAGAAGACCATTGGAAGGATTGTCTATGTTACTATAGTGCTGCTTTTGTTATGGTTTTTGGTTGTATTGGTGAACGGCTTTGATCATTTCTGCACGAATACACATAGCAATAATACTTTGGTTCCAACTTGATTTATACACATCATCAAACTCAATCGATCATGTTATATATATAATACGAAGTTACAATTCTTCTTTGTCTTGTTCGACTTTCTCATGTACTCTGCTTACTTGTTCTAAAAGCTACAACGGAAATTGGTGTTAAGCCTCAAAGAAAGCAGTCGAAAAGGCTATCAAGGATATAAATAACCTCTTCTGAAGCTTATTTGAATTTCACCTTAAACCAAACTAATTGTCACAAAATTTAGAAGTTTGAAAAGAAAGTAAAAACAATAAGCAGCAAAAATATTTAATAAAATGACAAAAGGTATGTCTTTAAAGAAATCAAATGAAAAAAAAATAAAGCGATGACAGAAGCTCTCACCGACGTCTTCTCTTTTATATTTGTAGGTCGGTGTAATGTCGTCGACGCCTTCAAGGTTAGAATCTCGCCACGTGTGGGATAAATTTAACTGAACCGAATCGAACCAGACAGAATAAAAACGGATTCACTAATTGAACCGATGGATCAGACCGGAGTAGTTGATGTCGGCATCAGTGATTCAGCGTTCTAGTATTCCTACTAAACCGTACCCGTATCTCCCCAAGTAAAGAGCCAATGAAAAGGGTGTGAACCAACCAATCAACTATAGCAAACCGTACAATATATGTCCGAGATGCCTTTACCTTCCTTTCTTCTATAAATTAGGTTCTTCCTTTCACATTTCTTTGTCTTCTTCTTACAGAGAAAATTAAAGAGCCTGCCTCGATACTTTCACGGACTTGTCTCTCTCTCTTTTAACATCTAAAAATTTCCGAAAAATCTCGCAAGGAAAAAATGGACAAGTTTTGGACTTTCCTCACTGCTCTTCATTCAGGCGCTGGGTATTATTATTATTCTTAATTCACCAACAGCATCGTTTCTATTTTATTGTTTCCTCTGTTTCGATTTCTAATTTTGAAAACGTAATTGGTTTTGTGAAATTACAGGCCCATAGTGATGTTGCTGTATCCATTGTAAGTTTTTTTTTTTTAATTTTCTCTTGTTTAAGATTTACAGAGACAAAACCTGAGAAAAAACAAATTGTAATAACGTTTTGAAAAAAAAACACAGGTACGCATCGGTGATAGCAATGGAGAGCGCAACGAAAGTAGACGACGAACAGTGGCTTGCGTATTGGATAATATATTCGTTCCTCTCACTGACGGAACTGATTCTGCAATCGCTTCTTGAGTGGATTCCCATTTGGTACACCGTGAAACTTGTGTTCGTTGCTTGGCTTGTTCTGCCCCAGTTTCAAGGCGCTGCTTTTATCTACAACCGTGTTGTCAGAGAGCAGTTCAAGAAACACGGCGTCCTCCGCTCTTCCCACCACTCCAAGTCCACCAAGCCCAACATCCTCCAATCCATCTTCCCTCACCGGGTATATTACATTTTTTAACTTTTTGGTCAAAGTAAACTTTTTCCTAGTTTTCCTAGGAAACGTAAAGTGATTAGTTCTCTAACGTAGCGACCATTTAGCATATAACAAGTGTGTTATATGGTTTTTGTTAATTCTTTAATTTCTTTGTGAAAGTTAATTGTGAATTTAAAATGTGATGTAGGAGGGACACGAGGCTCACAGTCACTGATTCAGAAGACAGAGGAAGCCTTGTTGACAAGTACTATTATTGTAATGGAGGTGTTGGAGTTGGTGGTGGTCCCATCAATGTCCTGTCTAATCTACTATTTTGCTTTTTGTTTTTAATTTAGAAAAAATGGGTTTGGAATGTTGATGATGATGATGATGACTGAACGAGGTCTGTCTCGTTTTATATTAGAAAATGTGGCTTTTTCACCTTATTGTATTGATTTAGCTTCCACGCGTATATGCTAATGTTATTCAAACAAATCCCTCTCTAACATATGAGTATGCGACACGAATATCTTACCAGATCAACAAAACAATATTTGCAACATCCAAACGAGAGTGAGTGGGGTTGTTTGTTTTGGCTGACGTACTAATATTTTGTTCAGTAATATATAAGTACTGAGATTAACACAACGATATTAAATTTAGCTAACTAAGGTTTAGTTCTATTGATGAATTATATAAAGGACCACAAGGTCGTCAACAAGGTCGAAATTAGATGATGCAAGCAAAAATGTGAAAACATAGAGAGAGATACTTTTGACTTGAAGTCTTTTGATGTGCAAAACTGAATAAACTACGCTTCCAAAAAAATGAAACCCACAGATCTTATTTCATCCTCTGAGCAGCCTCCTTGGCTAGAATTCTCTCCTTAGCCTTAGTCTTGGCCTGTGATTTTGATCCCATAATACCACCTCCCCACTTCTTACGGTACTCTTCAAACTTGTCATTGAAGTTTGCCTGTGCAAAATGATGAATCACAACAAGTTGACACCATTCTAGAGACACATACAACAGATTCTAAAAACACATAGATGTAACCAAATCAACATTATTCTCACCTTGATGGCCTCCAGGATTTTGCTGAATTCCATCTTGTCCTCGTTCTTTACTGTGGTCAAACACAAGCAAGATGCTGTTTTCTGGTGGACAATCTGCAACAAGTCATCAACAGAAGAAGAAGACCACTGATCAACTACATGTTTATTTTTCTAGATAATTCTAAGTAAAGCCCTCAAGGTAAACAATCATAGTTACCGCTCCCAATCGTGATTTCCCCTTGACAATGCAGTAAGGAACCTCCATTTTCCTGCATAATGCGGGCAGCCAGACGACCAACTCAATCGGATCCACATCATGAGCAATCACAACCAATTGAGCTTTGTTCTGCAATCAAACAAAACAGATAGGTTTCAGAAATGATTCCTGCAGCAAGCTTAAAAATTCATAGAGAGTGACAACTGAATCGGTCAGAAAGGGAAGAGACCTGCTCAATGAGGTAAGTCACATGATTAAGACCATACTTGACAACAATTGGCTTCTTAGACTCAGAAGGTTTGCCCTCAGCCTCAGACTGAGCCTTCTTGAGAAGACGATCCTTCTTGGCAGCTTTGTCCTCAGGCCTATACTTGAGAAGAAGCTTGAACAGAGTAGTGGCTGCAAGCAATTACACAAACATAGGGTTAAACAGCTAAAGATGGGTAATCAAAAACAGAGCAACAAGAGGAAAGGAGATAAAGACCTAAGTTTTTGTCAAGGGTCTTGGTGAACTGGTTAAGTGCTGGCGGGACCTTCAACCTCTGCTTGAGGATACGCTTCTGCCTCTGCAGGCGGATCGACTTTGGCCATTTGATGTATCTGGAGAGATCCTTTTTGGGAGGCAATGCTCCTCCGATCCCAAACTGCTTCGGACGCTTCTCAAATAGTGGGTTTGTTACTTTGTCCTGAAACCAAACAACAGTTTCAGGAACCAAGAACAGAGAAATATATCTTCAGAGAGAGAGAGAGAGAGAGCAAAACAAAATCACTTACAGGCTTCCTCTTGGTAGCCACTTTGACTCCTCTCTTTGGGGCCTATAATTTAAAGTGAGAAAGAAATCAATTTATCACATTGAAAAATCACAGTTAAACAACAATGGAATACATAACTCCAGATTCTACTACACATTTCTAACCAACCAAAGTTGCATAAAACTATAAGATCAAACTAACATATTACACAGCTATTAGCTTGAATCTCAAAAAAAACAAACTGAGGCTAAAAAATCCATTGATGTAGTATTCTTGAAAAATATGATTCACCAAAAAATCTAAAGCTAAAGAGATGAAAGCGTAAATCCCTTTTTTGACAGCTGCAAACAGATACAACACTACATTCATCTATAAGACAAAAAATAAATTGATTAACGAACAAAAATTGTTCAGAAGATGTACCATTTTCAGCTTTTCCGCAGCTCAAAACACTGGTAAACCCCAGAGACGACGAACGAACAAACAAAAGAGAGAGAAAGAGACAACTCGAACAACATATATTAGGGTTTATTTATTTAGTTATCGTGAGTTGTGTAATGGGCCGTCTCTTGGGGTCTATTAAAAGTTAAGTTGTATTAAGATGGGTTTATAATTAGATGGCCCATCTACACAAACTAACATAATTATTAAATAAATATAATTTTAAAAAACCCTAAAATAAAGCCCTTTTGTTCCTCCCTTTTACTTTACTCTCTCAGACTCTCCCCTTCTCTGAAGAAAAGTGAACAGAGAGAAACTCAAATTCTTACTTTTTTGTTTTGTTTCCGCGAAAAATTTGTTTTATTTTGGAAAATAATAACACAACTCATCAGTTACACACTTTTGAGGGCTGACAAAAGGTCTAATCGGTGGAACCAAAACAGCTCCGACATATATATATATATATATAAAAAAAGGAGGGAGAGAGAGCTCCTCGTTGGCGCAAAGAGAGTTCCTCTTCTTCTTCAATTCTTTTTTTTTTTTTTCTTTTAATACTATTTGAAAGGGCGGTTTCATCTTCTTCTCCAGTTATACTTAACGATGGATGATATTCACGTGAAGCGAGAGATTCCTCCACCGTCTTCTACTTCGCCTTTTGGCTTTCCGGGAAGAGAACCTGTTCCTGTAGTCGATCTCTGTAGCAGCGATGATGACTCTGATGACATTGGAGATCTCGCCGGTGGATTAGATGACGGAAGGTGTAATTCTGGGAACTTCGTCGGCGTGAAGAGAGCTAGAGATGCTTTTGGAGCTTCTTCGGAAGCTGATAGGAGTAATGTGAAGAAGGTGACAACAGTTGAGCAGTTAGCAGTGGCGTTGCCTGAAGGATTCGGCCAATCGAATCCACCGCCGGTAAACATGACGCAAGCTATTCCTGCGAACCCGTGTAATGTCTTCAGGCCTATGTCTTCGCCGCCGCCACCGTCCTCGGGAGTGTCTGGGAGGGTTGGTAGTTGTAAACAGTTCTGGAAAGCTGGAGATTATGAAGGAGCCCCTGGCGTTAATTGGGATCTTTCTTCAGGTATAACATATTCACTTTGGTCTTTAACAGTTATGTTGATCGGTGCTAAACTTGGAACATTTAATAGTTGGAAATTGATGATACTTATGTCACTGTAATTTTGTGTTTCTTCAGGTGGTTTTGATCATGTAAGAGTCCATCCTAAGTTTTTACATTCTAATGCAACTAGTCACAAATGGGCTCTTGGAGGTACTTTTATTCATCAACAGCTAGATTTACTACAATGCGTTTGCCTCTATTTCTGTGGGCTAAATCTGTTTTCTTGTCTTCTCTTGTGCAGCTTTTGCAGAGCTTTTGGACAATGCCTTGGATGAGGTGGGTTCAGATTCTCAACTTGTTATAATGTTGTATTAGACAGACTGAAGTGCAGTCTGCATTTAGCTTATGCTTTGTAGTAAATGGTTTCTCTCGTTGATATCAGGTTGCTAGTGGAGCTACTTATGTTAAAGTAGACATGCTCGAAAACAACAAAGCAGGAAACAGAATGTTATTAATTGAGGGTATACACTTCTCTTAGCATATCTTAGAGGATCTGTTCCCTGTTTTATTCATGGCGTTATTAGTTGCCTAAATCGCAACACTTTTTGTGCACTTCTCGATCCTCATGTACTAGAATCCTTATGTTTTGAAATCCAGATAACGGGGGTGGGATGGATCCTGAAAAAATGCGACAATGCATGTCTTTGGGATACTCGGCTAAAAGCAAACTTGCAAACACCATTGGACAATGTAAGAATTCTCTGTCACACTCAAAATGTTTGCAGAAACACGTTTAATTCATTTCTTGCTTATAGATGGCAATGGATTTAAGACTAGTACAATGAGACTTGGAGCAGATGTCATTGTATTCTCGCGTTGCCCTGGAAAAGATGGAAAGAGGTTAGTTGTTTTTAGTATCAATATGTTACCTCTTTTGGTTATCATGTTCTATTCGTTTTGGTTTGATTGTATTGTCACTACCAAAGAATAAGAACAACAGCTAGAGTTGTACTTTTTTTTTGTTATAGTCTATTTTACTTGATGTTGGTTTTAGCTCTACGCAGAGCATTGGGCTCCTATCATATACATTTCTAAGGAGCACAGGAAAGGAGGACATTGTTGTACCCATGGTAATCTTTCTTTGTTTCGCTGTGTGGCATTGTTAGAGAACAATTCCATGGTCTGCCACATGGTTTCTCTTATGTACCCCATTTTTAAAATGAAAGGGTATCTACAACCTGACAAATGCAAGCTAGCTCTCTGTAGACAGTTTAGATTTGATAACAGGGTTCTTAGTTTGTAATCCTTGCAAGTTTCACATATTTACGCATGAAACTCCAAGAACACATGATTCATTTACAGTTAAATTCTCCATTTGATTCCTTTGATCTGATATCTAGGCTAAAATTGGGAAGGCGTTGCAATTGTGATGTAGAATATATTGCAACTTTGATTTGTTGGCATAACGTTACACATATATAACTGTTGTTGTGGCAATAGATAAAACTAACGGCAGAGAGTTGTGTTGTTTCCTTCTCTTTTAGTACCTTAGCTTGCATCTCAATGGGTTATTTTCTTTCAGTACTGCTGGTAACATTGTAACTTAGCTTTGTTTTTTAACTGTTCACCATCTCTTCTGCCATAGAAGATGTTTCATGCTCACAACATATACTTTTAAATTTAGATGAAAACTGTATCCAGTTTTTTCCTTATACTTTCTTGTAAATGATAGCTTGACTACGAAAGAAGGGACCCTGAATGGAGTAAAATAATCCGGTCTTCCCTTAGTGATTGGGATAAAAATGTGGAAACAATTGTTCAATGGTCGCCATTCTCTAGTGAAGAAGATCTTCTTCATCAGGTATATTTTCCCTTTGTTCAAAGCAGTTGCTTAGTCACTTAGTCATACTGTGAAATTTTCCATGAGAGCTTTTTACTACCCAGGAAGCAAAAAGATGAGTCAACTATAGAGATTATTTTAGTACATTCTTAGTTATTTATCTTCTCTGTCACTCATTTGGTGTGGGCTTTCATCTATTGCCACCCCTTTTACTGTCTCTATCAACGAATGTTATCACTAATTTGCTGCTTTATTTGTTGTAGTTTGATCTGATGAAGGATCGTGGCACACGGATAATTATATACAACCTGTGGGAAGATGATCAAGGGATGTTGGAACTTGATTTTGATGCTGATCCGCTTGTACGTGTTTTCATTGCTCAATGTATGTAGCTTATTGTCTGTGATGATGCATACGATGTCTAATGCATGTCATATTGTTTATCTGCAGGATATCCAACTTAGAGGCGTCAATCGGGAAGAAAAAAACATAAAAATGGCTTCTCAGTTTCCTAATTCTAGGCACTTCCTGACATACAAACACTCACTAAGGGTACAAACATTATTTTTCATTATCTTTTTCATTTTTTTGTTGCAGAGAATAGAAATATGTCTTTTCATCAGAGTTGTACTAGTCCTTCTCGTGCTAGTTAGGACCGTAAGTCAGTATTGTTTCAGTTATAGTGATTATTTCAGTAAGTCAAATATTTCTGTAATAACTATAATTGTCAAAATAAAAAAGCTTGAATAGAAATATTATTATGAATCTTGTTCAGTTTAGCTGCATGACCTTCTAATCTACATATTCATTTCTCACATCCTTTTGACATGTTCCCAGAGTTATGTATCAATCCTCTACCTTAGAATTCCACCTGGATTTCGTATCATTCTACGGGGGAAAGATGTTGAGCACCACAGTGTAGTGAATGACATGATGCAGACTGAGCAGATCACATATCGACCACAGTCTGAATCATATGGATTTACGACAAATGTAAGTTTTGATAACTTAACTAAACCAGCCTTCTTAGAGTTCTATTTATTATAAACAGAGGATATTCTGGTTATAATATAAAGCGGGTAACATGCACAAATTCTTTTATCAGATGTCTGCCATTGTAATTATTGGATTTGTGAAGGACGCAAAACATCATGTTGATGTTCAAGGCTTTAATGTATACCACAAAAATCGGCTCATTAAGGTTTCATTCTACTTAAATGGCGTTTTGCTCCCCAAAACTCTCCATACGATGCCTTTGATTTTTAAGATAAATAGTTTATCTCAGATTCTTGTGTTTGTTCTTATTAACTTGTGTTGTCAGCCATTTTGGAGGATATGGAATACATCAGGCAGTGATGGTCGTGGGGTCATAGGTACTTTTTATATGGAAGTTATATTACATTATTCACTTACTTTGCATGAAGATTACAAAGCTAGTTTTTTTCTTCTGATAGGTGTTTTGGAAGCTAATTTTGTCGAGCCTGCTCATGATAAACAAGGGTTTGAGCGTACAACAGTTCTCTCTAGACTAGAGTCACGGCTAGTTCAAATGCAGAAGAATTACTGGTCTGATTCTTTTCTCATGTTCTTCTAAATCCCGCTTCACTGAGCCGGGCATGGATGTTTCAAGGCTTATAATATTCCATCCTTTTTAACCAGGAGGAACAACTGTCACAAGATTGGCTATGCGCCTAGGCATGGAAAGTCTGGACACGGTTATTATCAGAGAGGTATTGTGTCTTTATTGGTTTTGTAATGTCTATACCACATTTTCAGGAGAGTTTACTAGTATGGAACAATCATGTAACAATGTCTTATGGATGTTAGATTCATCACCAGAAAATGATCATGGGGGATCTGCTCCATCAAAAATCAAGACTCCTACTCCAGCTTCAGAAAAGTTCTACTCAAGCTCCTATCCAAATCATAATGGGGACACTGGTGTATATAATGGGAAAGACGGTACACTGGTATTTACTCCCATTAACATCTCAAATCTAAAAAGAAAGAGGAAAATCCTCCATTGTAATAGATGTCTCAAATTTCTTTGGTAATCTCAGTTGGAAGAGGAGCTGCGGCGTGAGAAAGAGCGTAGGAAAGCACTTGAAGTTGAGGTATGGTTCTACTTTCTGACATTTTAATTGTCTGGACAGCTTCTTTGCAAGCCTGATGAATTCCTGGTTAATTTAGGTTCAATTAGCAAGGCAAAAAATAGAAGAAATGAACAAAGAGCAAGCGAATCTGATTGAGATATTCTCAGAGGAAAGAGACCGACGTGATGGGGAAGAAGAAGTTCTGAGAAACAAGCTAGAGGTTCCTTCATTCATGAAACAAACCTTCAAATTTTGTACGCTCACCTTAAGTAGCAAAACCTAAAATAATTAACATTGCAGGAAGCGTCGAACACGATTGATGATCTTTTAAACAAGATTAAAAAGCTGGAGGGATCTAAAGGCCCGAGCTGGAGACATTAAACACTTGAAGTTGCATATATATGGAGAGTTAGATTACGACAAAAAAAAAAAAAAAGGTATATCTTGTCTTGTGTAAACCAATTTGATTAATAAAGCTTCTCTAGCAGCATCTCCATTTGATTTGTGACTCTTACCTGGTGTGATCACATTCTTGGACTTGGGTTGGATACATGTTGTAGCGTAGTATGTATTGGTAGGAGATTTTGTAACATCTCTAAATGTTTTTGACCCTTTTGATTGTTTTAATTTTTCCCCCTTACAAACTTCACTGCAGGCTTTTTTTTAGCAGCTGTCATTTCAGCAAACATTTAACGATATCCATGTGAAAAACCAACATCAATTAGTAATAATGTGGGTTGACTTTGTAGAGAGAGAGATCTTGGCTCAATTAAATATAGAGACCATTACTATATGAGAATCGATGTCTAGTTTATTGGATGTCAGAAGGGGTATTTTACATAGTATTAGTATAAAAGAGAAGCGTGTGTGGTGGTTTTAATAAGGTCAACTAAAAGAAGTGTGGAATGATTCGAGAAAAAAAAAGAATGAAGAAAGAAAATGACAAAATGAAGAGGAGGAGGGCATGGGTAAGAGAAGCAGAGGAGGGAGGAGACCAAAGCACCTGCAAAAACTCTGTTTTATCAATGACACATTTGTGCTCTGTCTGTCTGTCAAAAGCAGAAAAAAAAAATGCCATTCTTTCGAATTGCATTTATTGCCCATTCCCCCCAAACAAAATGCACAAATGAAATAACAAAACCAGTTTTAAAAAAACTATTTGAAAAGCTCACATCCTTTTTAAGACTCCTTCATGTTTTTTTTTTTTTTTTTTTTTGTGTGGAAAAACCAGTTTAAAAATGCAAGCAAATATCGAAAAGAAAGAGAACCAAGTTTTTTGGTAAAAGGTTAAATTTAAAAGAGAACCAAGTTGTCATTTTGCTACCTTGTGTTCATCTCTCTCTCTCTCTGTGCCAAGTCAAAAATAAAAACTCTTTTTCTGTGTTTCGCTTTTATGGGTTACTTGTGAGGGTCTGTTGGTTTGGCCTTTACTTTCGTTTATAGAATCGAATTTCAGTCCTTCTCTCTTTTCTTGTCCCTGTCACACTATCCTAATTTAGTTGCTCTTTCTTTCTTTACGAATTTCTCTATTTACTTCATTCCCGAGTGTTTTTTTCCCCCAAAGAAATCAAAATGAAACAATTGATTACAAAATGTTTTTATTTTTTGGTGCAAGTTATATAGTTCCTTAGAAATTAGGCCTTGGTACTATACTTGAACGCTTGATATAGTAGAAGCTAAACGATTGATTCAGTTCAAAGGGATAAAAAAGGGAAGAAGGAATAAAAATAAAAAAATAAAAAAAATGGAGGGTACAATAAAAAAACATCATGGTCGGGGGGAAGAGATCATAAATGCAAAAAAAAAATGAAGGGAGGGCGCGTGTAACTAAAAACAAAAAGAGACTCGTGTGATTCTGATTACTCTCTCACACGTGAGGATGTGACCATTTTTAATAATAATTACCCAATCTTCCTTCCTTAATTATAATCTCATACAACAAATATTCAGCCAATCATTCTCATTCACCCGCCACGGACTCCTCCATCCAAATCAATATATAGATAATCCTCGAAATGACCATATTACCCCCTTATATCGTCTGATATTTTCTATTGGTGGAGTATTTGGTATAAATTTACCAACTGTATCAATAAAACGTACCAACCCATTTCTGGTTGCATACAAGCGAGATTCATTCCTAAAGTTGCTAACGGTATCCATCAAAGCAGTCCACCACATTATTATAATAAACCATTTCACGACTATTTCATAATTTAAAATTCATTTCCTAAATAATTAATTAATACAGAAAAACACCACGAGTTAATAAAACAAAAATATCTATTTATTTAGTTCCACATACATAAAAGTGAATAAAAACACTCCAAATTTCTTTCTCTTTACCATGTTTGTTTTCTTTTGGTAATTTTACTTATTTTTTAATAGTACCGTTTGGGTAATTTTAATTTATCAAAAAGATATTGATATAAAAACTATAGACTAATAATTATGAAAAAGGACTATAAATACAACTTGTAATGTAGTAACAGACGAGAGATCCTCTTTTTCTTTATTTCTTTTGTTTTTAATCCCTCTCTCTCTCTCTGTTTCTCTAGTCCCTTCGTCTTCTACCTCGGCGACACCATTTGCAGACGAAGAAAACTTAGGTGAGAAAACTCTCTTTAAAAACTGTACGGCCACACTACTTGGAATCTTTAGAGATTGTGTATTTCAGTTTTTTTCTGGATGATTTGACTCTATCATCCTCTGTTTGATACTTTTGTTTGTTTGCTCTGTTTCTCCTTTCTCTATACACTAGGCTCCAGCTTTCTCTTCGTTTTCCGTCAGAATCAGATTGCTTTTTTTCTTTCCTGGATACTCGATCGAGGTTCCTTACTTTTACCTGCTTTTTTTTCGATTTCAGTCGCTTTACGATACGATTCACCTGTCTCCTGATTCGCTTCGTCTCTTTGATTTTGATGTTGATTTTAGAATATTCAGCTTTTTGTTACCTTTTACGTTCCGCGGCGATGAAGTTTTACCAGAAACTGCTTAATCGATACTGTAACCTCGCCGTCGTTTCCTCTAATTTTAGGTTTAGCTTCGCTTTCTCTGCACATTTCGCAACTTTTGTAGATTTTCGTGGTCAAAGATTTTTTGAATAATGTCTTCAGTAGATTCGTTTATATTTCAAATCAGGAGCCGCTTAAATCTCCATTTTCCTATGTTTTAACTGTTCATTGATACGATAGATGCAAGACAAGTCGTCTGATTTTTTTATAGATACTGATTTAAAGTTTTTTTTTCCTCCCTTCTCTTCTCTTTCCTCTGATATTTTACAGGTTTTCCGGTAATAGATAGTCACATCGACGTTGACGGAACAGATAATAAGGAGACGAGAGAGTCAGCTTCATCATCAGCTTTTTTTTTTAGTTTCCCGACGTCTAACCACATGAACCGGCGGCGACTTCTGATATCGGCGACACTTCTCTCTTACTTTCTTCTTCACGGCATGGCTCTCGCCTCCGGTAACTACGAGATTTATTTAATGGATCAGATTTTAGATTCAATTTATTGTTAACACTGGGGCTGAGTGTTTTTAATGTTGTGTGGTTTGAAACAGGGTTGAAGCTTAGAGGTAATCTGGATTTGACTAAAACGACGACGTTATCGAGCTCTTCGCATCGGAAGATGCTTCTTCTCTCTCCTGGTATGAGGATTCTTTTTTATTTTTGGTGTTGTTAAAATTATTTTACCAAATCGATGATTGATCCAGATCCTTTCGTGTTGATATTGTTAAAATTTTGGCTTTGGTTGCTCCATATTTGTAAAGATCCTCGTGAAATGGTGATTTGTTTGTTTGCATCAGAACAAGTCTCTGCAAACACACACCTTCCCTGATGCGTTTAGTCCTTTTTTTTTTGTTTTTGGTATTTTCACAGCGTCGTCAGTCTTTCTCGCACGTCTGTGTTTTCTTGCTCCCTTTTGTTTCTTTTGTTCGTTATACTTTTGTGGACCCTTTATTCAGAATTTTTGTTAAAGAGCCTCTTGACTTATCTGTGGAATAAATACAAATAACATCATCTTTAAGATTTCTGATTTTTTTTCTCAAATTGTCTTGAATCTTTTCTGCTTCTTGCTTGTTAGAAACTTAGAGAATTAGTAAATCAAAAAATGGTTTTGGTGAAAAATAAGTTGATGACTTGTTGACTATTCACTGTAGTGTGTGCATACATGTGTAGAGAGTATAGAGCGATGCTTAAACAGAATCCTACTTCATCCAGCTGTCAAATTACTACTATTCTCTGTTTTTCTCATTTTCTACAATATTTTTTGGTTATTATTCATAAAAAAAATTTACTAGGTAAAGGGAATTAAAAATGTATGAGTCCTTAGCATTTCGATTTTTTTGTATCCAACTAATATAGACTAAAAAAATCCTCTGTTTTTGTTTGTGATTGTTTTGAAAAATAAAAGGAGGAAAAGCAGAGAAGAGGGTAGAGCCAGAGAGGATAGGAGACAAGTGCAAGAGTACGGACATAGTGGTGAACCAAGCTGCAACGGAACCATTGCCGAGCGGAATACCAGGCTACACGGTAGAGATAACGAACATGTGTATGTCTGGATGCGTGATTTCGAGGATACACATCAGCTGCGGCTGGTTCAGCTCAGCTAAGTTGATTAACCCAAGAGTCTTCAAGCGTATTCACTACGACGACTGTCTTGTCAACAACGGCAAGCCTTTGCCTTATGGCTCCACTCTCTCTTTTCACTACGCCAACACTTTCCCTTACCCTCTCTCTGTCGCCTTCGTCACATGTTCTTAGCTTGTTTCTTTTTTCTCTTTCTAGTTTTCTTTTCTTTTTTTATATATATATATATATAGGAGGATTAAGAAGATAGTAGAAGAAACTGAAGGAAATTAAGACTACTCTTATTAGATACGGAAAATATGGAGATTTAGTCATTTAGTCTCATACCAAAACATCCACTTTTGTTTTTTGTTCTCTTCGGGATGTGAAACAGTTATATAAGTAAAGGAATATATCAAAACTCTTTTTCCCTCTATAAAGCTCATGTCAATGACAATACCTATTATTATTATTGACATTGTAGCTGGAATTTGTCAAAACCCTCACGACTCTAGAACAAAGCTTATTGGGTCACAAGTTGATTGAACCTGGTCAAGACTAAAGACTTTGATTGGATTTGTAAGAAAGAAATGAAAACCGGTTGGTTCAAGAACGATAGTCTCATCTCTCATACAAACGTAATTGGTTTAAGAATGAGGTTCATGGCGACCTGTTACCGGTTATGTGAAGGTAGTTTAGTTTTGGATTGGATGCCAAATCCCTGCACTTTACATTTTACATATCCTTCTTCTCATTCCCTCGGATTCACTACACCATCCAATTATGTTTATCCAACAGTATATTTTAACCCCTCATTTTTCTATTAAAAAAAAATAAGTGAATTTGTGTTTTTATTTTTGTTAATTGATTAATATAATTAATTGTAATAGATTAGAAAGATATCATCAATGATATTGGTCCAAACGTTCAATTGGTACTACGCTGCAAAGAGAAGAACAGAGATCTCGGATCACATACTTTAAGCCCATCACCAATAGTCCAACACAATGGATTTAGAGGGACTATTAACTTTTGGGACAAAACTTTGTTCTTTTGTCACTTTGAATGGGGAAATAAGTGTAGACGATGGTTAGATATTCTTGATGGCTGCTAACAGAGACACAGATATATGTAAACATCACCAACCGTGTCCGTGTGTATGGAGTATAAGACCTAGTGGTCCATGTAGATTAACTGGTCATGAAACATGATTCCCGTGGAATATTTATATTTGAATACCGTCGTAAGTCTATATGCATGGTTCAACATATTTGAGAATATGATATGATGAAAGATTTAGAATTTGAAGAATTTTTTATTGCGCTCATATTTTTTAAATTAATAGTACAAGTGTTTGAATTCAGTTTAGTTATCTCCGGATAAGAAGACGTACGTTACATATACAGTATGTGCATTAAGAAGCTGATAAGATTTTGACTTGTGTTATATCTAAAATATACGTTTCCTAAAATACAAAAAATACATATATACGTTTCCTAAAACAAATAACAAAAAAAGGGGGAAATTAATATCTCTGGTCAAATTGTTGTTAATTCTGTATTTATTTCCTTTTTCCTTATACGAGAGAGTAGAAGAATATTAACTTCTCTTTGACTATAATTAATTATTCGGGGAAGTATAAATCGAGTATAAAAAGATGGGATGCTAAATCTTAAAAAATCATTCAAGAAAGAAAAAGAAAAAAACTATTTACAATGTGTGGCTCATCAGCAGCATTACGCATAATATTTAGTGTGAGTTTCATGGTTATTTTCTTTGGTGGTGGACTCTGCGAGGCTAGAATGCATGTAAATGTGGATATCATCAATGATATTGGTCCAAATGTTCAGTTGGGACTACACTGCAAATCCAAGAATAAAGATCTGGGAACACAATATCTAGCCCCTCAACAGCACTGGGGATTCAGAGCAAATCTCAACGTTTGGGAGACAACTTTGTATTTTTGCCGCTTTCGATGGGGAAGTCAGTCTCAATGGTTCGATATTCTCATTGCCAACAGAGATCAAAAAACATGTGAACATCATCCTTGTGTTTGGAGTATCAGACCTAATGGTCCATGTCGATTAACTGGTCATGAAGAATGTTTCCCATGGAATTAATGTTGATACTTGAATTATGTTTGGTTGTAACATGTTTTCTTATTTTCAAGCTAAAGAATAATAAAGTTGTTTTCTTTTTTTTACTACACCAACACTCTCCGTTTGTTAATCCCTTACATGACACAAATTTAAACCTTAAAAGACATAAGATAGACCATAACATGTACAGCCACAGGCTTCCCCATCTCGATTAAGTTATTTACCATGTAATTTGTTTGGTCATAGTCCTACATATAATTTAGTTTACCCAATTATAACTAAACGTCTAAAACACTCAATCATCTATAGAACTATTACACGCAACTCCGTTTTATCACCATTCTACAGTTTCAAGTTGGGTTTTTAAGTTGTATTGTGATTCTCCAGTTTGATATTTGATTTTTGACCATTGATGCTTGGCTTGTAAGGGACTTGTAATGGTACATATTAGCCCTGGGCATATAATCCGAATCCGACAAAACCGATCCGAACCGATCCGAAAAATCCGATTTGGATCGGTTTCGGTTACTATGTAAAAACCGATCGGATTTTATGTTGAACATGATTCGGATTTCGGATTTAAACCGATCCGAACCGAAATCCGATCGGTTATCTGCTAACCCGAATACACATGGTCTAATACATCACATAGTATACATATAATCTCTATGTTTTTGCCCAACGCTCAAACCTCTTTTTTACGTCGGATTGTTCGGATTTAGAGTGTAAGTTTCGGATTTATAGTGTAGAATCTGAATCCAAAACCGATCCGAAATAGGATTCGGTTTAAACTCGGATTCGTAATAAAATTTGAAAACCGATCCGAATCCGAAGAAATCCGAACCGATCCGATCCGAAAACCAGTCGGATTCAAATCGGATTCTATATATCCCAATCCGAAAAATCCGAACTCCGAATAATCCGATCCGAAAATCCGAACGCCCAGGGCTAGTACATATTTGAACATGATAAAAGCAACTTAAATATATTTGATGATAAAGTCGTCGAAATTAGCACTTGTTGATCAGATGCAGATCACCTACTTGTTTATTTGTCACATTAAGAACATCCCACACTTAATCATGCTAATTAACTGTTAAGCGGAAGAAGGACCAAAACGGTTTGGTCAACAAATCATCTAATGTAATAATTTCAGGAATTAAGTGGCCAAATTGAGATAATTTAGAGATTTAAAAGACCTTTCAGTGATTATGTGAAAGGGAGAATGAATATTGATGGCACAAGTGTTTTGTTACGTTTTTTTAATAAAATAGATAGTAAATAATAATCTTCATCACGCGTAATGGACCTAGTAACCTATACAACTTGAGTACATTGGGACAGTAAGGGACAAAAACAAATAAGAAACAAGAGAGGTACTTAGAAAAGAATTTTAGTTCAATTTCTACACATTCAAAGATAAAAACTCCACAGCTTTAAGGGAAGCTTTACTTTACTTTTTTTTTAGCTTTCTTTTGTTTTTGTTTTCTTCTGTACCGGAAGAATTTGAGAGACCGTGTGTGTAATGTATGATACATGTCTTGCATTCTTCACAAAATGGTGCATGTGCAGATGACCGCCTTGGGTGCTTTATCGACCTTCTTCTCTGTTCGATCCAAAAACACCAGTATTCAATTGTTAGTTAGAATTCATCAACAACGTCTTATAAATCACAAACTCAGTTTTCATGACTTTGTCAAGTTTGTTTGAAAAAAAAAACATGTTGACAAATCTTAAAGATTATATCCATTCTCTAGAAGATCTGAATCAAAGTAATAGTCATCCTCTAGCAGCTTTGAATAAACGAATGTTATACTAATTGCTGACCATTAATGATCTCATGGCATGCCTTTGGTAGGCTTAGAGCTAATTTTGCTTTATTTTTCACTAAAAATAGAACAAGCCTTAGGAACAAATTGTAGGAGTACCCTTCACTCTGTCAAGACAAACATAGGCAAGACCACTAACCACCTGATGCATATACGCTGATAGGTTGATTGAGTCAGTAGTGCTTCTAGAAAGAAAAAGGAATGTACTGATCCTAGTCACCGACTAACTTGCTGATGTGCAAATTTTAGGTTATGAACACTCTTATGAAATCTTACCAACCTCGATTAAGATAAGTATGACTAGAGGTAGATGATACTATCGCAAATGTTGAGCCATATAACAATTATCAAGATCCATACAAGTGACGAGATAAATAACACAAGACTTGTGAAAAAACTGAAGACGCTTGATATTGAGAAGCTCTAAGGAAACATAGAACTCCATGAAAAGGAAAAATTTTAATATACAAGACAGGAAGAACACTTTAACATAGACAAGAAACAAAAAGTTACCTGTCTTGGTTTTAGCTAGAGATGGCTGTACAACAACATGCATCACAATGACTCCACCTGCAATCTCTCCAAATGGTGTCTTACACTGCCCAACAGTCTTGTTGTTCTCCAAGATCTTACCCGAGCTGATCAGCTTCACTTCGTTTATCCCCTTTGGAACAACTGTTTTGCCTAAGCAAAACCACACAAAAAAAACGAGCATTCAAACAAGCTGCAACTCACAAAAACTAACCTCCTCGTGATCAACCTTAAATCACAAAAAGACTAAATATTTCTCATACCTGATGCTTACAACTTCCAAAATGGACTAATCATTCAAAACTAACAATAATCATCAACAGCTCTAAATTTCGCATTTCTACCGACAATTGCAAAAAAAAAAAAATTCAGCGAAAATCAAAATACGAAACTCGTGGAGCACAAGCTCTGCTACGATCAAAAACCCTAAACTAACCTTTGGGCCAATCGGAGACGACCCTCTGCTTCAAAAAATCAACCGTAGACGCAGCTGAATATCGAAACGGTCCGATGTCAGAGCCATCGTACAGCCTGAATTTGATATCTATCGACTCTTCCTCCGGCATATCCGTTGACTTATCTCTCCGACCTCCGATTACCAGCAAAAACCCAGCTCCGATCACTAATCCCGCTTCTCAAAAACCAACCTCAATCACAACTATTTCAGATCTGAAAATAGTTGTACAAAAACAAAAAAAAACGAGAATCAGAGCTCGCTTCGATTGGGATATCAAAACAAAAAAGGAATATGAGAAGAGAAGAATCAAAAAAAAAAAGAAGAAGAAGAAATCAAATACAGAGAATCGTAGGCTTCAGATATCGTCTTCGGATCTTTTTGTTGGGATTGAAAAAATAAAAGCGCTTTATAACGAAAAGCTCAAGAGTCGCCACCAAATATCCAAAGTTGCTTCTCAAGCCGACGGTTTTCACTTTTTTTTTTTTTTTTTCGTCGTCACTTCTACTTCTTCTCTCTCTCTCTCTCTCTCAAGCCGACGTCTTCTACTTTTATGGTCTTAGTCAAACGCTGTCGTTTTATTCGAATTGAAAATTTTACCCGTGTTAACTGTTCCCACCATATTTTTCCCTTTTACAGGTAGAATTTGGCTCTATTGTTTTTTGGTAGGTTCCAAATCTTTTTACGAGTCCTAGAGCCCAAAATGTATTTTTTTAATAGTCTTATCGAAAATTAATTAAATTTATTGAAATTTAAAAGTTGGTATTTCATATTTCTATAGTTAACAAAAAAAAAAAATCCCTTTATCTTTCAAAGTACCACAAGTAATTCAATTATTGAGTTTGTGTAAATTCATACTAGAACTCTTTTTTGTCCAAACTCTTTTTTATACACTGGTGTGTATCCATTAACACCACCACTAGTGCTTTTTTATTTATTTTCTTTTTCATATACTAATACAACACATCTTAATTAAATACCGCCAAGTTATATTTTTTTTTAAAAGGAAAAAGATACATTCGATTACTTTTTTTTTTAATAATAGAGAATATGATGAGTGATGATGAGAATGCGTCACTTCTTCTCCCAGACAGCAAAGTCAAGGCCTGAATAAGCTAAAGCAAAGTTAGAAGGAACGAGAGTTCCCAAATCCAGCTTTGGCCCTATCTTCATGATAACCTTATCATCGATCATAGCCAAGTAGAGATCCGACTCTGCTGCTTTGATCGCAACAGAGCTTGTGCTACCAATCCCATTTCTTTTCCTTATAGCCACCAACTTGGATATGCTCTCTTTTAGTCCCCATTCCATGTAATGATTATAAAACTGCAACAATAAACATATCTCTCATCAACACTACATACAGCTAAAAATGGATATAAAGGAAGTTGTTGATGTATCTTTCTCTCTATACTTACAATGCAAGGAGTTCCCGGATGAGTAAGAATATAAACGTATCCAAGCAAGACTTTATCAGAAGGGAAAACCCACGTCCTGAAAGTGTCGTGGTTTTCAATGAATGTGACAGCGTTACCGGGCATGATCCCGATCAGACCAGGCGGTTTTCCCTGAGAGTCTTTTAGTCTCCAGAGCTCACCTTGGACTGCAGACTGTAAGATCCCTTTGGTCGTGAAGTCAAAAGCTGTCAAGACACCACTACCAGCTTCCTCAACCCACTGTTTGAGACCATACCGATGCTGGTCCTGGTTATAGTCCAGTTTTCCATCTCCTCCATACTTCATATCGTCCCATTTTTCACCCACCGCAAAGTCCGGTGAAGTGTTCTGCATATCCGAAAAAAAAACAGAGGAATGAACTACAGAGCTATCGAGTGTGAGTAAAATAACATATCTCTTACCAACCAATGTTTCTTATATTACTAGTGTTGGTCCGATTTGAGTAACCGTACCTGAACGTATAATTTGGCGATGGAAGATGCAAAACCTATAACGAAATCGAGTCTCCAACCATGGAATCCGATATCAGATTTAAGCCAGTTCATCCATTCTGACAACTCTCTCTGAGCTCTAGGGTTGAGGTGGTCGATGTCTGGCGCCCCATTGAAATCTCCTCCAGTGTCGATGTTTCCGGTACCGGGAAAGTTAGGGTCATTGCGGCAGACGAATGAACGATCCCAGTCAAGACGATCATCGGAAGTGCCACCTTCGAAATAACAGTATCCGCATTTATCGTCTCTTGTCGCACCGGTTCTGTGGTTGATCACTATATCAGCCACAGCTTTTATTCCTTTTTGATTCAGTGCTTGGATTAGCGATTTCAATTCCGTCTCTGAACCGTATTTAGAACTGTTCAGATCGTACAGCTTCCCCGGTAAGTACCCTGAGAAATGAAGATGTAGTGAGTAAGGAGATTGGTGTGTGAATGTAAAAGAGTAAAGCAGAGATGGGAACCTTCAGGAGAAACGGATTGAGAAGGAGGAGGAAGCCAAATATGAGTGGTTCCAGCGTTGGCTATGTCGTCGATGGAGTTGTGGATAGAATTGTAGAACCCTCCTTGTTTCTTCCACGATTCCCAATTGAAACTCTTTGTGTTCACAATAATTGAAAAACGTAACGCCAATTAAGTCATGAGTCTGTGTATGAATTAAAGAAGCAAAAAAAGTGTTATACTTTACCTGAAACAGTAAGGTGGAAAGTGTGAATGTTGGGAAGATGAAGAAGAAAAGAAGACAAGTGAAGAGTAACGCATGGAGAGAAGTCATTATTGTCTGATTGTGATGAATTGGTTTTGTTTCTTCTCTGCTTTGTGTGTGTGTGTGTGTGTTTTTATTGAGACCCTAAACCTTTGTAGAGTTACGTAATCTAAACGATACGGCATTGTCATTCATATCTGAGTAAATTTCAGTTTCTTCTACAAACCTGTTTTTGCTTGTGGATGAAATGTGAATACATTTCCCAGATTTTAAGACCAAACACAAAAATCTGCTCTGTCTCATCTTGGCTAAGTCAAGCCTGGTCTTCCTATGCTCAAGCTCCATTTGTCGCATTTTAGTGGACGGTTGAGATCATTATTCTATAGGAAAAAAACATAATTAGCCAAGACATGTTATTTGGGCTCTTACAAGAATATGATTGGGCCTTAACACTAACTTTCTCCGAGAATAATTATAAAGCCCAGAGTTTATACATGTTAGGTTTTTTTTTTTTTATTGAGCAAAAAATGTTAGGTTAAATTGATATTCTCAAGTAAACTCAATTCGGGTTAAGTTAGTTCAGATTAATTCAGTTGTATTCTACATGGTTGGTTAGGTCAATGTTTCTTTTGGGGTTTCAACGTTGAGGTTAACGCATTCTAGTCCACCAAACCTTTTTTATTTTATTTTTAACATCTGATTTGTGAATGGTCATTTTATATCGTTACTTTGAAAATTTTACTTTTTTCTAGTATTAACGGGAAAGAGAGCATCAAAACTATTTTACAAAATTCTAAATGGCGCGCGTACATATTTTTGTAAAGGATAGTACAATTTCGAGATATATATTTCGAAACAAAATGATGAGAAGTAGAAAAAAAGACAAGTTTGGGAAACCAGACTCAACGGTAAAACATAATTAAAAACCACTAATTCGTAATAGAAAACTAAAATCTTAATGATTTAGTTTGATATTTTCTTGTCCATCTGATCCTCTAAATCACCAGCACCAGTTTGAACAGGATTAGTCTGTGACGAGTGAACGGTAAGCTCACCAGAAGCCGGAGTGGATGAAAGCTTGGCCATGTTGATGGAATGATCCGCCGACACCGTTTTGGGCTTCTCTGTCTCATCAACGACCACGGGGGATTTGTAGTACTTGAATATGACGTAGAGAATCATTTGAACTGCTCCTAGAAACGCACCCATTATATTTGGAAGCTTCAATCAGAAAAAGTAATCACACCATCAGTTTAATAAATCCCACTAACCATTTTTGAATTGGGAGGAACAGTAATCCCATTAGTCGCCGACAAACTATTTAAAAAGCTTATAACATCTCGGTTTCTTTATAACGCGATCAATCATATAATATATGATTGTGAACATAAAGCAAAAGTAGCGTTCGTACGGCTCAAATCAATTATTAGCGGTCTTTAAATAGACGGAATTTGGGCAAAGAGACAAAAGGTGATGGAAACAAAAACAAAACTCTTTTTTTTTGTTTCCCTTAAACATGAACCAACCATAATAATATACTATGATACTATGTTTGCGCTGTCCATTTTCATATGCTTTGGAAAAAGAAGATTCAAATATAAAAATGTAAAGGGAAAAAGAGAGATAGAGACTCACTGCGACGTAGAAGTCTTTAATAGCGAGACCGTAGAAGAGCCACGTAATGGCGCTGAGTGTAAGAAACAATGATAGGGAGAAGGGCATAAACTCCACACTCTTTGTTCGTATCACCACTCTCTGCATCATCATATTTTTATATATATTTTTCATAAGTTAAAACTATATAATATACGTAAACATATAAAGAGATGCTATTACCGGAAAAGGTAAGACAAGAAGCGCTATATATATTATTTTCTTAGAATTTAGAGTATATTATATTGTCCAGATGAATTAGCATGGCTCTTTTCAATAGCCAATATTTTTTTTATGTGTGTGTGTATTTTTATTATATATGTCACATAAGTATGTACGTACCATGATGCTCAAAGGAGCTGCGAAAACACAAACGGAAAATCCGACGCAAATTCCCCCAAGTACTTTCTCACGGTTCGATCCTTTGGTTAAGAGCTCGCAGACAAGAATTATAGCAGCAAAACCCAAGAAATTCAAGAGCCCAAGAACCTTCAAAGTTGATATCTACATGGTCGTTGTTTATATATCATCATCAGCTCAAATTATCTTTGCACAAGTGCATGCTTTAATATATATATACGAAAAGAAATGGTATATAGTAGTTTTAAACGTACTCTAGCTTTCTTGTTAGCATACGTGAGGAAGAGGATGATGTAGATGGTTTCGATGAAGCACCCCACAGCATTTATGGTGATGAGAAGGAAGCCTGCTCCATCTTTTTGCATAGCGTAGTAAATCCATAGCATCGCGCTAAATAGCGCTGACACGTATGGAAGTGATTCAAAACCTTCAGTCGATTTTTTCTTGCAGATTCTTACAAAAGTTGGTCTGAAAATAATAACATCCGATAAAGTTTTATTTATGTATTAAGAGAACACAAAATAAGAAAGAAAGAGTGTTTGATATAGACGAATGCTTACACTGGTGCCAAGAAAACGATGAATGATATGATGTTGCCTGCAAAAATACAAACATCAAAGATGACACGGTTAATTTTTATATGCACGTATACTAATATAATAGTTATATATAGTATATAATTATCATTTTACATGAATTTGATGTTTTTTTATGCATGCTTGATGATACGTACCCATGACTCCAAATGTAACTGCCAATACGTTGTGAGCTAGAACCATTGTAGTTTTTTTTGTGAAAGAGCGAGCTCTTGATCAGTATCTTTCTGAGTATCGAAGAAAACTAATGAGGAAACAAGGGAATGGGAAATAGATAGAGATATTCTACTCTTGATGCCTCTCTGTTTGAGTTTCCTTCGATATGAATTAACTAGCGAGGCCAGTGGCACACTATATATAGCGAGAGGCTA